AACAGTGCATTTCATTCATGTATCTCGGCACGCACTTCTCCTCACTCGTAAGTTGTACCTTACATGCGAGACATGGAACGTGGATGTAATCACATCAAACCACGACCCGTAAATTGTACAGCAATATCACGAGAGTCTGGTGACAAGAGGGAGCACAAAGATTCAAACCCTCCTTTCGATGCAATGCCGGACGATCGTTCTTATTTATTTTTATCCAAAACTTGTAAGATGTCAGGAAACATATTGTATCAAGCATGTGTCTCGAACTCTGTATCTACTACATCGGTGTAGATTAAGGAGACCGGAGAGAGCGAGTCCATGCGGAATAGATAAGTAAATAAGAAGGTGATGACTGCTGCAGAAATAGGAAGATAGGACAGCGAGGACTCTAAAAAATTAACTCCTAAAACTCTTGGTGTTACGCTAGAGTCTAGACCGACTGTCTATTGACTACGGGTGAGCATGAATTCAGGGTAGAATCGGAAACTGGATCGATGGGTCCGGTTCGGTTCTTGGTTCTAGGGAATGAGGTTCCAGTTCCGGTTCTATTTTTTTAGGAACCGTCGATTCCGGTTCGGTCAGAACCAGAACCGGGAACCGAAACGGAGAACTAGGAATGGAACCGAGAACCCTAAATCTAAAATCCCTAATTTTCTTACTACTCCTCACTTCTCACTTCTTAGCTCTCAAATTCTCATCTTTGTTCGCATACTCATTGCTTTGCTTAACTTGTCGTGTAAAACATTTTCTAAGGTTTGTTTAGACCTTCGATTTATTGTGGTTTTGGAGTACCCGCCATTCGCATCCTCATTGCTTTACTTAACTTGTTATGTTTTTTTGTTCTTTAGTGAGGTCGATTGTTTTCATTATTCACTCTTTCAAGAAACATCTTAAGCTTGATGGTTGCATAGTTAGAACCATGGTGATAATGGATGGTAGAAGGAAAAAAGAAAAAGTTATAGTTGCAGTTGCAAATGCAAATAATCGATACGCGACACTTCAATTTTAAATTTAAAACTATTATCAAGTTATTAACTATGATTGTTGTTTCTTTTGATTTTAGGTGGTCAGAATTTGGAATAAATTTTCATGGATGTTTGAGGACCAAAAGCTCATTTTTCTTTCCTTTATCCTGCTTCCCATTTGTTTGTGATTCTAGATATGGATATTGTCTTGATTGACATGCTAATCCCTCATGAATTCTATTGCGCATCGATTCACGCAATGATTTCTCATTTTAATTGTATTTATTTGAATTATAATGTTAGGAAAACTAGTCCTTTATATTCTCTTTGGTGAATAATAAGCATGTTTGGTATTGTTGTGTTCATTTTCGTTTTGTTTAACTAAAAATGAAACAAAAAATAAAAAGAACCCGTTGGACCCTGGAACCGACCTTGGAACCTGTGACAGGGTAGGTTCTAGGTTCTAAGTTCCGACGTGTAGGTTTCAGGTTCCAAAAAATGATAAACTTGTACCCGAGGGTAGGTTTCAGGTGGAACTTGAAAGAAACTTGGAACCGCTCACCCCTATTATCGACAACTCAACAACTCGAGATAACTAACAAATCATATGATGTCATAGACCTGTGAGTTATTTATATGTAATGTAGGGTCTGTTTAAAAACTCTCTTTTGGACAATGGTGCAGTCAAAATTAGGAAATTTCCCTAGTTTCTTCCGTTCCAAGGAGGAGAAGTCAGAGGCGTCCTATGGTTAAAATATTGATAACCATCAACACTTCTGTCTGTATATATACCCCTAAACATGGTGCTTCTTCCTCATCTCCAACCTCTCACTAATCCCCCTCAGCACCATAGTCATCTTATTGCCTTAACCACGCCCAATAACACACACGGGCACATGGACCTCTTTGCTCAATCTCTGCTTTCCTTGGCCATTTTTTACTTCTCTCTCCACGCTCTCTTCCTTGTCTTCAGGAAGAAACCTTCACCGCCCAATCTCCCGCCGGGCAAAACGGGATGGCCTGTCATCGGCGAGTCCCTAGAGTTTGTCGGAGCCGCGAAAGGTGGCCAACCGGAGAAGTTCATAGCCGACAGGACCGCCAAGTACTCGCCGGAGGTCTTCCGGACTTCGTTGCTCGGCGAGAACCTGGCGGTCTTCTGCGGGGCCTCGGGCAACAAGTTCTTGTTCTCGGGCCAGAACAAGTACATCACCACCTGGTGGCCTAGCTCCATTAAGAAAGTCCTAGTCTTCCCAGAGACCCTGGAGAAGTTCAACAAGGACGACCCCAAGAAAATGCGCAGCTTCTTGCCGGAGTTCCTGAAGCCAGAAGCTCTCCAGCATTACATACCGATCATGGACTCGATGGCCAGGGATCACTTGGACACGGATTGGTCGCCACGAGAGGAAGTTGAGGTCTTTCCTTCGGCCAAGAACTACACTTTCGCTCTGGCTTGTCGCCTTTTCATGAACATCAAAGATCCGAACATCGTTTCAAAATTTGCCAACCCGTTTGCTCGTATCGCCCCTGGGCTCACTTCGGTGCCAATTAATCTCCCCGGCACGCCATTTAGCAAGGCGGTCAAGGGAGGGAAACAAATAAGGGAAGAGCTCTTGGCGATCATTCGACAACGGAAGAAGGAGCTCTCGGAGGGAAAAGACGCTAACGCTAGGGACTTGTTGTCACGGCTGCTGCTTGAAGCGGACGACGACGGGAGTGTGTTCTACGAGATGGAGATCTCGAACAAGATCATCGGATTGCTCATCGCGAGTCATGACACGACCAGTACTTCGATCACTGTCGTGGTGAACTTTCTTGCTCAATTCCCTGATGTTTACCAACGAGTATATGAAGGTACTATAACTTCTCACGTAACCTACTCACCTTTGATTTTCTTGATCAATTCGACGAGAGTACTGAATCTTATTATCCAAGGAAACTTTTAACTAGACATTGCAGTGGAAAGACATATATCCACAATCACCGTAAATATGATGACAACCACCCGAAATTCTATAAGTAAAGCAGTAAAACTAAGCTAAACGTTTGTACAATGTTCTCTATTATATACTTTGATGCTTGTGCAAAGACTTCCTTTCTATAGTCAAACCTTACCAAAATCCACACAATTAAGTCGAGGTCTTTTACTTTGCAAAAAGGATGTTAAAATTGTGAAACTTCAATTGCATCGACTCTAGTAACTTCTTTTACTTAGAGTTCAAGAAAAAGTTTCTGGCTGTCCTAGGAATTCCGGAATACGTTCCTTCTGCCCTGATTGTTCCGATACTTAATAGGTTCGCCCGTCGCTTCTGTTTTTATAGAACGGACTCTTGATTTTCCTTTTCAGCTAATTACATACTCCTAAGTGTCGCAACGTTGAGCTTGTTACGCGATAAAATCTTTGGTTCTATGTACAGGCGAAATTAGTACAATGACAAGCCATTTGAATTTTGCTTCTTTGAACAGAACAAACGGAGATAGCAAAGTCCAAGGGTCCGGATGAGCTACTGAACTGGGACGACATCCAGAAAATGAAGTACTCATGGAATGTTGCCTGCGAGTCCCTGAGGCTCTGTCCACCTGCTCAAGGCGCATTCAGAGAGGCCATTACAGATTTCACTTTCGCTGGCTACACAATTCCAAAGGGTTGGAAGGTAATCATCGTCTTCATCTAAATGCTTTCGAAAATGCAGTTCGTAGAAAGAGTTTACCAACTGTCCATTTCCAGAGCCTTTTAGTATGTTCCAATCTAAAGATTGAGCATTCGACCAAAAAAAAAAAAAAATCTAAAGATTGAGCCAATTTGATCATTTCAGCTACATAGGACCCCAAAAGAAAAACCAAATAAGAGAAGCGAAGGGACGAACTCGAATTTTCCAGAATCTTTTCTTTTTTGGCCATATAACTCGATCAGAGCTGAGTTCCATCTGAATTCAGTCCATACACTAGTATGCATACGAAATGAAAATGATATTAGAATATCCTTTACCAGGTTTATACTATCATTAAGTGAGTTTGTATTTTCTCGTAGCTTGATGAGTGTACTTTGATATAGTCATATTTCCATGGTCCATTTTAAACATGACAATCCACAAACACTCCATTCGCTAACGATGTTTTTCTTACCACCATCATGATGTGCAGACATTTTGGACAGTATATTCAACACACAAGAACCCCAAGTACTTCCCCGACCCGGAGAAGTTCGATCCATCCAGATTCGAGGGGGATGGGCCTGCGCCATTCACTTATGTCCCCTTCGGAGGAGGTCCTCGCATGTGCCCGGGGAAGGAATACGCGAGACTCGAGCTGCTCGTTTTCATACACAATCTGGTGACGAGGTTCAAAATAGAGAAGGCGATCCCGGACGAGAAGATCATCTACAATCCGTCGCCGGTCCCTGCCAATGGTCTTCTAATCCGCCTTCGAACTCATAACTAAGCAGGCTAGTAGTGGGACATGCTCAATATAGATATCTAGGACAGTGTTTGTATGTTTGTTGATGGATCATCCATCAATCAGGAGAGTTCAGAGAGGAGTGAGTGGCGTTGCAATAAAACCAATGTTAGCGGTGACATGAATTGGTCAGTACAGCTTAAAGTACTTATTATTGGAGCTCATAGTACTGAATAATTGATGCACGCGACATTCGTGTCTAATTCCATTTAATCTTATCTATAAAGCAATCCACACCCTCCCTTCCAGTCAATTGATTTAGCACAACTTCCCTAAAGGAATTGCAGAATAGATTCTCTAAAATGAGAGAGTTTGTTCTTCAAGTAATCATGTATAGCACTAAACAACATGTGAAAAATGAAAAGGAACACGGCAACTATTGCAAAATTCATGGGGTGTAACATCATCATGGAGTAAACAAAGCCAAGATTCCACATCAATGCAAATTGACACGCCTATCATATTCATCCAAAATAAGAAAGCAACCACTCTTTTAGGATTAAGAGTAAAGCTCAAAAAAGATGAACTAGATAAAAATTGGGCGTGTAGATACTATTGCCATCTATGAAACAGAGTGAAAGATCTTCACAAGCTAAAAATTTTCCATTCATTCTGCCAAAATTACGGTGAAAATGTAAACTTGAGAATATACAAGGAAAAATGTTTTACAATTACAACAATCCACAGGAAAATTAATCGGCTCACAAAATGCTGACTGGTCATGATCTACGAGTCTTACCAGGTTTAAGAGATAGTGAAAACCTATATTCTTTTCCAGAAAGATATGATAATTCTCCTTCCTTCAGGTTACCATGGAAGATAAGATCGAGAACGCAGAGAGGAGCTAAAGCAATTGCTCTTTCTGCGTGATCTTCCGTATAGAAGAATAATATCTAAAATAGACGGAAGTTATTATGTGCAAAAAGTGCGATCATCAACTGTAAAGTGGAGGGAGATTGCCATTGAAGCAACCACTCACGAGGCAGGAAGGGAATCCAACCATGGAAGTAATTTTTCGTGAACTAGATCGGGTCTGTCATCATGAGGACAATGTCCTACCCCTTCTAAAAGAACGAGGCTAACATTAGAAAGTTTAGAAGGCAAAGTGGAGAAGTATTTACCAACAGGCCCGTCAATTGGAGTAAAGGGGTCTTGGTTGCCCCACAAAACGAGAACAGGCAACGAGATGCTTGGCATCAATTGCACTGGATTTGGTCCAGGAGGGCCTGTCACAATGGAGACAAAAGCATCCAGAGCCCCATCGTCATCTGCTGGTTCCTTAATTATCTGCAGTCCAGTGTGAAGAATAGCATTTTGAACAAATATCTCCGGGCAGTTAAAGATGGCTTGATCAATAGGGAACTTTTATTTACCTGAACCAATTCGTCGTCCACGGATTCCTTATTTCCATAAACAGACAGTAGAATATTCCTCAGGTTATCCCTGAATAGGCCAAAAGAAAAAGAGTATTTTTGCATTACATGGAGGTTTGGAAGAAACGGATTTCTGAAGTCAAAAAGATATATTACTTCTCTCTAACACGCTCAAAAATTGCAGAGGCAATTCCTCGTTGCTTCAATAAAAAATCAATGAACCAAAGCAGCGGTAAGAGTAGTTTTATCCTCCAATCGTCTACAATGGCCTTGTTGTTCATGCCACCAGCACAGTTCAACAGGACAAGCCCTCGGACCAGGTTCTTTCTCGATTCTGTCGGACAAACAAGCAACATAATCTTCAAGAATCATGAACAGATCACCACTTAAATAATCCCTTCCTATTGATGAAGTTCAGTGGATTCTGCAAATGAAAGAAGGCTGACTTTGCACTGCTGAACAATAAATCATACCTGAGGCTGCAATTACACAAGCAAGACTTCCAACAGAATTTCCCACGAGAACAGTTGGCCTTTTAACAACATCTTCCAAGAAATCCAGTATCAGCTGTTGGAAACAAGCCACTATCGTCAACGAGAAGGACAGGAAGCACATCCGAATTTGAAGCCAAGACAACATCGTTCGTACCTGAGCCCATGTTTCCATTGTATATCTAAAACCGGCTGGCTTGTCTGAAGCACCAAATCCAAGAAGATCAACGGCATAGACAGTGTAATTTTGGGCCAGTGTGCTAATATTCCTGGAAGATGCTTATATTTGGAGAACATATGAAAAAAATAAGAATCAGATTAATTCCTCATACGATGAACTCTCGGTGCCTAAGATTGTGCACACGCCCACGCTTCAAAGTAACAAAGAGCAAGTCAAGGACCCATTTCCGATGAAGCGGCTTGTTAAACTAAGGAGGAATTCTTCAAACTATCAACGTTGAGTGATCAAAAGAATTCAAGGGACAGTCGAGCACAACATGATCCGAGCCTAATTGCAGAGCATGCCATAGAATATCAATCCCGGTCCGTCGAGCCCCGCCCCCATGCATACAAAATTGCAATCCTCCGACTTTAAGAAACCACCCCCCCTAACGGACTAGCATCTGGAAAATATGGTTACTGGAAAACAATGAAATGGCCAAAGCCCGAAATTGGAATTGCACGGACACAAACGCACAGAAACTCACCCCATCATCGCGACTTAGAATTTGCAATTGCCCTCATCCTAAAGTGCAGATAAAAATCGAACTTTTTGAAAGAAAGCCGGGATTGGGAATTAAAGAAAGAACCTGCGCCAGTGAGGAACGGAGGCGCCGAAGCCGTGGACGAGAAGCAGGGGAGGCTTCGAACCGGGAGGCGCAGCCGAGGGATCCGAGTCGGAGACGAAGTAGCTGATGGAGTACTGCCCCTGCCATTGCCACTTCCGGGACTTGCCCTTTATCTCGCTCGCCTCCAGCGCGCCGCCGTCGCTCGGGCTCGCGGCCGCGGGGGCTAAGGCCGCTGAATCGCCGCCGCAGCGGACGGCGACGAGCCCCGGCATTCTGCCGCCGCTTCTCCTCCTCGCGGTGCCTAGAGGAGGAGCGAGGGAGAAGGAGGTGCTGAGGCTGTGCGGCTGCCGGGACGACGCGAGCGCGGGCAAGAAAGGGCCTAGCGACCCGAGAGGAGACGTAACCGCAGTGCCCATTACAGCGAAGGTCGGATTGGATTAGATGGCGGTGATGATAATGGTGATGATGGTTCTTCTTCTTCTTCCTTCCATGACCACACTGAACACAAAGGACCAACTTCCTGTGGAACCGAACATTCCAAGATCTTTGTCCCGGAATGAGTGGACGCATGGCGCGGAGGATTTTAACTGTTTGGTTTCGTTTTGGTCCTTTCTTTTTCTGTTTACTAATGATCACAGCATAATTTTCTTTTTGAGTTAATACCGCGAAAAACCTCAAATTGATATGTCTGTGACAATTTTACCCCAAACTAATTTTTTGACAATCAAAAACCCCAAACTGGTATACTTGTGACAAATTTACCCTCATTTTATTTCCGTTAAATTTTACTATCAAATTGCTTTGTTAAATGACACGCGACAATTGGCGGATGTACCAATTTTATGTTTTACCCTCCGTTTGTCACAGGCGTACCATTTTAGGAATTTTTTGTGGTATTAATTCAATTTAATGGAAACTAACGGAGGGTAAATTTATCACAAATATACCAGTTCGGGATTTTTATTGGTCAAAAAATTAGTTTTGGGTAAATTTGTCAAAAGTGTACCAATTTAGGGTTTTTCTTAATCACAAATGTATCAGTTTGGGGTTTTTCGTGGTAGTAACCCATTTTTTTTTCTCCCTTAGGGGAAAACAGTATAGATGATCCTTTGTAGGGGTGTGCAAAAAACCCAGGACCGCCCAGGACCGCCCGGGATTGGACCGGAACCGGTGGTTCCCAAGGGGACCGGTCCGGTTCCCGGTTCCAATTTTTTGGAACCGGTGGGTATCGGTCCGGTTCTCGGTTCCTGGTGTGGAACCGCCCACCCGCCCACCCGGACCGGACCGGTAATATAATAATAATATATTTATTTTTTAAAATTTTAATTAAAAAAATATGACCAAAAAAAATTTTAAAAAAAAAAACGTAACTAGACACTCATAACTCTCTGCTCTCTTATCTCTGGACACTCATTTGATGGGTACCCACTTGATTTATGGATGATGTGGTTAATAGAACTGATCATAGTATAAGAATTGTATGGAAAGTTATGTTCTTTTCTTTTTGTTCCGTTGATCCGATGTTGGTCCACATATTTTTTTTTATTTGTCCAGGAAAACTTAATGAGACCGGTTCCATGGACTCGCCCGGGAACCACACCGGACCGGCGGTCCGGTTCCCGGGCGGGTCCATGGAATCGACGGGCGGTCCTCGGTCCCAAAATTGAGGACCAACACTGTGCGGGTTGGCCCTAGGGTTAGGGGGTGGACCGGCCCAACCCGGACCATGCTCACCCCTAATCCTTTGCTTTTAACGAGGGGCATGCTACCACTGGGCTCACGGTTCGGGCCAATTACCCTCGATCATTGGACTGTATAGTGCCTCTTGAATTAGTTTATCACGCTAGCCTTCCTTTCTATGGATCGTTCATATGATTTGTATCATAAAATATCTTGTTATAATCGATCGGTTCATGTCTCCTATCAACTTGGACATCTCCTCATTGTGAGCAAGATATGCATCTCGATTCAATATATGAACTGGTATCGACTTGTCGTGCCCATCAACAATAGAGTGGCATTAGCTTCTGGCCAATTTGTGCATGGACGGCTAACTTGCCTTTGGATGCCTTCCACATCATATTTCTTTAACCAGTAAATTCTTAGCACAAACTCTCCGACATCACTCTCTCGATCCAGTTGAATAGCCTCCCTCGTGTTTCTCTCGAAATTATGGAGCTCATTTCCATTTCCAATCCCTTCATGGAATTGGAAAATGTCGGACCGCGACAACTGGCGAGGGCTGCTTGCCCTCACCTGATGGCTACATGAGGAAGGATCGTTTACGTTGGGATCCTGATGAGGGTCTTTGACCTGTGGAGGCGAACGAAAGGCGGTAGTAGCACTGGCCAACAGGCCCTGTCGATCCAAGCACCGGCACAACCCGACATGACTGGGCTCATGATTGGGCAATGCCCGTTGGATCGAGGGGCCGTGCTGGCCTGATTGCGAATGGGTCGGGCCAAGCCCATGGCCCCTATTGGGCCGGCCCATGCCTCTTTTTGGGGATTTAGACTGAATCTAATCGTTGGGCCCATATGACCGTGGGCCACATTCGCGTCGCTCGTGGTCGCGCCGCTCTTGAAGACTCCGGAGAAAAAGACTAAAGTGGAAGGAGAGGAAGCAACTGGAAGACACCTGCATCCTCTCTTCAGCTCCATCCTTTCAATCTTCAGTATTAGACCAACCTGGAAAAAAAACATGTACACGTGGATTTGTAATGACGTTATGCATACGCAACATTCGATGAAAAAGCTAGACATCGTTCTTCCATCGTACTCCACGATCGCTAGTAGTCACTCTTTCATGCTCTCTCTCGAACGTTCGTCACCCATCGAGCGCCTAAGTGAACCTTCAAGAACAATGTCTTCGCCAATCATCATCTATTTAAGCACGTCCCACTCAGTTCACTTCGCTAAGTAAGCTCATCTGAAGCCAAACCCGAAAGAGATCACACACTCGCCCGACTGAACTGAACCCCGAACAAGCGTAGAAATGGCAAACCGCTCGCCAAAGCTGCTTCTGGTACTGTCCCTGCTCTTCGCCGTCGCGTCGAGCTCGGAAGGCTCGCTCTTGCCCTTCATGGAAGCGACCACCCGGCCGGGACTCGTAGGCAGCTTCCTAAGCGATCCCTTCTGGGCTGACCCGTTCCGGGTCCTGGAGCAGGTCCCCTTCGGGGCGGACCCCCTTTTGAGGGACGCTGCCGAGGTTCCGGCGCCGGCGAGGGTGGACTGGAAGGAGACGCCGGAGGGGCACGTGATAAGGATGGACGTGCCAGGGCTGAAGAGGGAGGAGATCAAGATCGAGGTGGAGGAGAACCGGGTGCTCCAATTGAGCGGCGAGAGGAAAAGAGAGGAGGAAGAAAGAGAAGGCGATCACTGGCACCGGGTGGAGAGGTCGTACGGCAGGTTCTGGAGGCAGTTCAGGCTGCCGGAGAACGTGGACTTGGACTCGGTGAGGGCGAAGCTCGAGGACGGCGTGCTGACGGTGACGATGGCCAAGTTGGCCCCCGAGAAGATCAAGGGTCCGAGGGTGGTCGGCATTGAAGGAGAAGCAGGGGAAGAGCCACCGAAGATCAAGAGCGACGCCAAGCAAGAACTCTGAGAGAACGAATGAAAAAGTTGTTGTTGTGAACCGTGACGTGTGAATGGGGAATGCGCATGTTTACGCATATATGTGCGTGGTAAATTTCGCTCGCTGAACTTCCACGAAAGCCATGGACATGAAGTAGCAATAAAGAGTTTTATGTCTGTACTTTCTTCTCCCTGTCAAACGTTTTCTGAAGCATGATATGTGTGGAGCTTGCAAAATCGTCCGATTTTAGTTTGACTTAAGGTTGTCTAGAGTCCAATCATACTTACTCTTACTTGATACGTGATTGATTCGGATAACATAACGGGTCTATGCATGCGATAAGACGACCGGGATAATAGATTAAGGTAGGATGGTGCTAAGGATTTCGTTACCTTTCCATGGCATATCGAGCACAACCAAAATTTCTTACATCAATTCAAATCCCATCCCTTCTTTCCAATCCACAAGTGAAAAAGGAAAGAGCCAGTATTGCTCTCCTTACTTGAGGCTATGGAAAGAGTGATCCAGACCTGGGTTTCGGGAGGCTAAAGTAGAGGAAGAAAATGCTTTTCTGTTCTGCACCAAAAAGAAATGTTGGGTAAATCTCGAGCATCTTGCGCTGAAAAGGTGCCACAACAAACATACTCCATGTCCTGTCGATGCTCTGGGGTAACCATTCTACATCTGAAAAATCTCTCTGTTTTACACAAACCTATCTTCTCAAGCATAGATTTCCATAGCCGTCTTCAATACAGAGCCTTCTTAAATTAGTCAGCCAAGCCACACTTGGAAATGGGAACTTCATTACAGCGTCTTGCAAATGGATATCCAAAGGTACTTGTTTCCCCATAAAAGCCTCTTTGTCAACATCATCGAGGCTAATTGACAAACTATGAAGCTCCTGCTATAACAATTGCCTGCAGGTACCAGAAACAGACAATAACTAGGACCCAAAATCAGAATATTACGTTATAGAACAAAATTAGCACCTAAGATATCACCAATCTACATGTAACCAGTTGACAAAAGTAAGCAAAGGAATACAATGTTCTAGTCCAAGTCAAAATCAGAAAAATAATACTTGGATACATAAATTAGTTACCAAACAACCATGTTCATGTATGCTTACCTTAACCGCCATCAACAAATTTGTAAGAAGATTTCTTATGTTGCCACTAAGCAGGTGAAATGGGGGTTGCTGAACAGCCAAGTTCATAGGGTAGCATAAGAAATTTCTCAATGAGATGTTGAAACGAAAGTTATTGGGCTGAAGCTGGATCATACTAAAACAAATGGTTTCCAGTTCCAGCCAAGAAAGCCACTTGGCGTCAATATTTTCCGATACGTCTTCCTTTGATGACTTGAGATTTTCCACTGCAAATTGACAATGGTGGAAATTAACAAATACTCAGCAATCACTGATGCCATAGTTTGTTCTGGTGGCTTACATAATTATTTCTTGGCTTACAAGTTAAAGCAACACATGTAACATCTCTACTGAAAGAACATACCTGAGCATCCAAATAAACCATAGTTTGCTATTGCCACTCCTTTCCTCCCAGAAACAATCAGTGAATGAGGTTTAATTAGCTTTCAACCCTAGCTGCATCTGCTTATCCAGAGCTGTATCACTCTAAAAGCGACAGAAACACATTCCAGTTGAAACTGTGTTCAATCTCAAGACAGCTACTCACCGTTCCTGGGGTCTTGTACTTGCTCCTTTAGTTAAAAACAACAGATATAGGAGATTAGCATCTGGGCTCATCACTGCATTCAAATCAATCAAGTTAGACATGCAGTGAATAGAATGGAATTAGCAAAGACATACAGGCAAGACTGCCTAGAGAACCCAAAAGGCCGAACAAATAGATATGCAAAACTAGAAGCTGATTTTAGGTTTTAAAAACTAATATTACAATACATTTGCATAAGACCTTGACATTTATGCTAAGATGTCCTTAAAGCCTAGGTGTGTCAGATAAAAAGAATTCGAGTTATGCTTATATACCCCACAGAAAACAGACTCTCCAGGACATTGTGTATATCCACCGTCTGTGGATGTGATAAGTCAACAGAATAAAACTGATGGAGCTGGCTGTTGACCTCAACCCAACTGCAACCAGGAGTCTTATATGCATCCTGCTCCTTTAGCATCTTTCTGACCCGGCGGACCTCATCCCACTTCCCAAGCTCTACATACAAATTCGCCAACATTGCACCATAACCACCATTATTTGGGTCTAATTCAATAAGCTTTTCCAATGCGAATTCGGCCAAATCTGTGCGTCCATGTATTTTGCATCCATTAAGCAAAGAACCCCACACAACCTCATCAGGGTGCATCTTCATTTCCCTGACAACTTGTAAAGCTTCATCAAACCTACCAGCTCGGCCAAGGAGATCAATTAAGCATCCATAGTGCTCGATCCTAGGTTCAATGCCATAATTCCTGGTCATCATATTGAAATAAGCACGTCCTCTTTCAACCAACCCTCCATGAGTACAAGCATTCAACAAGCCAATAAAAGTAACCTCATCTGGGATTACATCATCTCCGGACCGCATCATCTCCTCATATACACAAATTGCGCTCTCAGTTTGGCCATGAAGGGCAAGACAATTAATCATGGAATTCCACGATGTCAAGCTCCTCTTAGCAGTCGTTTCAAATATTCGTCTGGCCTCCTTTAAGCTCCCACATTTGCCATACATGTCCACGAGAGAATTTGAGATAAATGAATCTGGACCTAAGCCAGTTCTATATACATAGCCATGAATACCTTTACCAAGTTGAAGCGTGCCAGTGTGGCCACATGCAGAGAGTGCACACACGATTGTTACATGATTAGGCCTATTCTCTTTATATTGTGTATCTACGGAGAAGTTTATCATTCTCCTTAAGATGGACATTGCCTCGGAAAAGAGACCATTCTGTGTGCAGCCAGCAATAAGAGCATTCCAAGACGGAACATCTCTCTCCGGCATATTATCAAATAGTAACAAGGCATTTTCAATCTGCCCAAGTCTCGTGTAACCCGAGATCATAGCCGTCCACGAAACAACGCTTTTCTCAGACATCTCATCAAACAACTGTCGCGCAGTCCCAAGGTCACAACAAGACCTCGCGTACGCGTCCACAAGCGCCGTTTGCACAACTGGGTATCCCCCGAACCCCGATTTCAAGACCTGGGTATGCACCAGCTTCGTGCCCAGAGACTCCGAGAGCTCGGGGCACGATTTCAGGACGTGGGGGTATATGAACTGGTTGGGCCGAGGAAGCCCGCGGCGGACCATGTCGCGGTACAGGGCGAGCGCTTCCGGCGCGTGGTCCGGGCGAGCGGCGTACGCGGTGACCATGGCGGTCCAGAGGTAGATGTTCGGGGAGCGGAGGTGGTCGAAGATGCGGCGAGCGTAGCCGAGGTCGGCGAGGTCGAGGGTGCAGAAGCGGACGAGCTTGAAGACCAAGAACTGGGTGCGGGCATGGCCGAGGGTGACGAGGAAGGCTTGGAGCTGCTTGAGGTGGTTGATGTGGGTGGATCGACCGAGGGCGGTCACGACGTGCTCGTTTAGGTTTGTCACAGAGAGCATGATGCTTCTCTCTCTGCAAGCCAGAGCATTCGCGATGCACGCAGGAGCAACGTGCACGCCGGGTTTGCTGAAAAAGCCCCCGCCTTTTCCTTTTTTTGCCCACCAAAACCGGACAAAACTGAAAGAACCGGTGAGTAACGGTTCCATCGAGTCCCAGTTGGCCATAATTTAGCATTCAAGCTCGACCGAAAAAAAAAACAAACCACGTCGAGCCAATACCCGACTCAAAGTCGGATTAAATCGATTAGAGATGATCGGTTTTCGGTCCGATCCAATTTTAAGGAAGAACCGGGAATCGGACCAGTTGATCCCAGAACTGGAAATCGGACCAAACCGGTTCGGTCCGGTCTAATGAAACCGATTACTTAGACTGCGTTTGGTTGTCCGGATTTCTAAACAGGATAGGACTGGATAGGATATGATAAGAAATCCTGGGATTTCTTCATATCCTATCAACTGTTTGGTGGACTACGAATTTAAAGTCGGATAGGATAATATTTTTTTTTTTTTGCTATTCACGGGTCCGGAGGAGTCGGTGAAGGAAAAAAAGCTGAGAAACTTTTTTGGTGAAAGTGCACAAGGTGTGGGGATGAAGATGACGGCGAGTGAAGCGTAGGGTTTCTGGAAAAATAGACATTAGAAATCCTATTCAGGTCTATCCCACCTCCCTTGAATTTTTTTATCCGGTCTATATCCGACCTTATCCTATCCTGGACCACCACCAAACACAAGATATGATAAAACATATCCTATCTTGGCTTTTATCCAGTCGACCAAACGCAGCCTTAAGGTTTAGTTCACAGTTTAAGAAAATATTCGGGTCTGATTCTGTTCGGCAATCCTTTTGAGATCACGTGATATTCAATGTTTAATGAGTTTTAATATTTGATTGTACTTTTTAAAAATTTTATAATTTAATTGAACTTTCGTGACAAGTCTTAAAAAATTATGTTTAACAAACGTAAAACATGGCTTTCGCATCTCCCCAATCTCGTGGTCGAGATTAATCTGCAACAAACCCTTTCCTCGTCCTTGGGGCTTGAAGTCCGAGGTCAAAAGCCGATCGGGGTCGAGCTGAGAAGTAGGAGAGGAAACGACAGAGGTGAAAGAGGCGAGGCAAAGCGCAGATGATGAACAAACGATGCGGTCAAAACCGAGGAAACATGGAAAACAGAAACGCCGCGCTCTCCGACAAGCATTCAGGACACCATTCTTTTTGTTGGGAAAATTTGTGGATTGGGTGAGAGAGAAGAGGCAATGGCAATGTGCATGGAGAGACGTGTATGTCGTGTTTTTTCCGGGTCAGTTTCATCTTTTCTCGGCCCTGTCTCGAAACCATAACTTCAGCTTCAAGCACAGAAGAGCGAGCACAGGTTTTCTCTCTTGTTCAGTTTCATCCTCTCTCTCTCTCTCTCTCTCTTAAAAAACGATTCTTTGCCCATGCAATTCTCTCTCCTACGCTTCCTCGTCGGCTTGCTTCTTCATCCACAGTCGATGAACTCCATATAAAATAAGATTACTTTATCTTATTCTCCATAGCTTCTCGTTTTTTTGTATATTACCCAACAGCGCTCACCAGATCCCAATCCTCTCTCTTTCCCTCTGTCTCTGTCTCTCTGCCTCTATCGCTCTCGGTAACAGCGACCCAGAAAGGCTTTCCGCAATCTTGGTATGTCTCCGACGCTATGGAGATGGCGGAAGCTCAAAGGGTTGGTGGGTTCGCAATGCTTGAGCCGTCCCTCTTCGCCGCCCTCGTCGCAGCAACACCACCGTTACATGCAGGTCTCCGCCATCTCCACCCACCTGAACTACCTCCACCTCGCCTCCCACCGCCGCCGGGAATCCCTCATCGGCGTCCAGGAGCGCTACAAGTGGGACCACGGCGGCTCCGACGACCTCCGCCACCGCAAGATCCGGGCCGAGGCCAATTGCCCCCGCTGCTCCAAGAGCATGGATCTCCTCTTCTCCAATCGTCACTTCTCGCCCAATCTCGATCAGAATTTCGCCCGGAACAATAGCGGCGACGGCGGCGGGGACGTCGCGAAAGCCGCATCGGGTGGTTATGAGGCCGTCAATTTGTGCCCCAATTGTAAGACTGCTTACTACTTCCACCCGTACCGGATTGCCCCTCTGCAGGGCAGCTTTGTCGAGATTGGGAGGGTGGTGAGCACGAGCAAGACCAATAATGGCGTCGAAAAGAGGAACAAGAATGGCGGTCCTCGGAATTCTAGTAATAGTGCTGGTGCGAGCTGTGATGAGGACAATAGGGGTGGTGGTGGGTACGATGATTTCGTGAATAATAAGCTGCGGTTCTCCTTCTGGGAGACTCTCAGGTCCTACAGTGGGGACCCGCCGGAGAATTGGCCGCCCCCTCCAGGCCCACCTGCCGGGAATGGGTTGGCCGTGCATACTCCGCCGGGGCCACCGTTTGCGCCTGGGGTCAATGTGATCCGGGCTGCTGGCCCTGGTGGAGGTGGCTCTGGTGGTGGCAATGGAGGTGCTGCTGGTGGAAATGGCGGGGAGAAGAACGGATGGGGTGGGGCGAATTTGGGCAAGGATTTGCCCACGCCAAAGGAGATTTGCAAGGGCCTTGACAAGTTTGTTATTGGCCAAGAAAGATCCAAAAAGGTGATATATGTTTTGTTGATGCTGAAGGTCAAGCATTATAATGTTAATGTCTTATTATTCTTACATGTTATCATGATCTCAGTATCTGGTTAATGCCATTCAGGAGTTGCTGGTTGATTTACTTTAGAGTTTAGAGACCTTTGACAATGTATGCAACACTATGTTACATCTTGTTTGATTAGCTCTCCATGATGTGCATTTGGGCGACATTTTAGTTTCAGGCAGATATTTGACGTCTTTGATCCGGTGGGACATCAAATTCCAGTTCTCTTATTTAATTCTCTTCTCTTAAGTGACCCTAGCCACTCGAGGGATAGTTCTTCAAATTGCAAATAGGACTAGGCATCTTGATGACTCTCCCTCCCTCTCGCCAATGCTAAATGGATGTTTGATTGAACTCCTCAGATGGATTCTTCATGTGGAGTACTGATGCAGTATATGTCATTTGCTCCTAGTTCTCCTAAAAAATTAGCAGCTTAATGTGAGTTAGTAATTATTGCTGATGACATTATTATGGTCATGATTGTATTGGTTAAGCTAATCAAAATTAGTCATTGAGCAAACTAAGTCACTGGTTTCGGTCTGTACCAATAGGATGTCTTGTAGAACTTATTTTGCCTTGAGATTTCTGTATGGATGGATTCAAAATGGTTTTCCTCTGTTAGTTAGTCAATAAGCAAATCATCAACTGGAGCACGGAAAAGAGTAATTCAGTTTACATGCATGTTTTTAATGCTTTGTCTATGATATGAAGTGTGATCCGCAGCTGAAAGATATGGTTTAAGGTCTTCTCACTAATAAGACTCTCTGGACTTGTATCGTGAACCTTGTATTCTGTTAGAAGCTAATGCAGATGGTCTGTGCCTATGCTGCAGGTACTCTCTGTGGCTGTTTATAACCACTACAAAAGAATATACCTTGCCTCCCAAAAAGGGTTAGCTATTCTTGGCCCCTGTCCTTCAGACACATTAAGTCCTTTCTAATGCTGATGGCATCTATTTCCTTTGCGCAATTTCATAGCAAAATTTGAATCTCAATTACTTCTGTTAGGCTGGGTTTATGGGTTGGCACATCAATAGCTTTTTAAGAAACGCTGATCCTGCAATACATAACATTTGATTGCTGTGACATCACTATGCATGCCATCTACTAGTTAGTTTGTTGGGAACATGTTTGTTGATACTGGCTTGACCAAATCTACAGACAATAAGCCTATTGAATATCGCATGTCTATACTGTTGAGAGCTGTATTTCTTGCTACAGTTCTGTCATACTACCTTTGTTATAGTGATTTGAAATTGATCTAGTGATTTCATTACTAGGTCAGGAGCAGAGTCAGGAGTTCCAGAGGCATTAGATGATGATGATAACGTGGAGCTAGAGAAAAGCAATGTCCTGTTGATGGGCCCTACAGGCTCGGGTATGATAGCTTCTGTCAAATAATGCGCCTCTGGTCTGGGCATGCGATGAATGCTTGCTCAGTGTCGTTTTATGTTGTTTGTCATTACCTCTTTCACTGTGCGCCTCTGACTTGCGTACTCCTGAATAGGGAAGACATTATTGGCAAAAACACTTGCTCGTTTTGTGAATGTGCCTTTTGTCATTGCTGATGCAACAACTCTCACACAGGTAAAGTTGGGACATTCTTCGTGTAATAATATTAACTACTGAAATTGAGATTGGTCTTGCTTTTCTGCGCTGCTCTCGGTCTAGACTTGACTTTTTTTACTCAGACACAAAATGGGATTACTTTTGCAGGCTGGTTATGTTGGAGAAGATGTGGAGTCAATACTGTATAAGCTGCTCACGGTGAGTTCATGTCTCTATCCCTTCAAGACTAGCAGTTAAGTTGCTGTGGCTTACTGCACTTCATTTCTATCAATACCATCTTCAGTTCTTCCAATCTGGTGGCATCATTGTTTACTGTCTCAGTGTAGGCATAGCTGCTTACTTCATGTGATATCAGTTTTATGTCACGTTTTCTTCTGTCTGTTACAAATAACGAACTTGGACATGACTGGCTCCGATATAATAGCTTGAAATGCTTAAAAGGATCCTGGTCAAGGGATTTGTGTTATTTAGCAGTGGATATTTGCAACAGCGAGTTTCGTTCTATATTTGTTTGGGTAACTGGTAGATGAAGTTGTCATTATCTGATATTGAAGTTGTTGCGAGAGAGTTTCCATAACTAGCAGTTTTTCCTGTTAAATCTGTACTTGCAATGGTCTTGCATCTGTCAGTTTCCTTTAGTTAAATGATGAATGAAGCTGTAAATTATGATGTTTGTAAATTTTCCTCTAGGTAGCGGAATTCAATATACAAGCAGCTCAGCAAGGAATGGTGTACATTGATGAAGTTGACAAGATAACAAAGAGGGTCTCTGAGATATTTCATGACTATTCCATTTAGTTCTACTTTGCAAGCCATCTGTCTTTACTGTGAAGTCTGATTGCAGGCTGAAAGTTTAAATATCAGCAGAGATGTTTCTGGTGAGGGGGTTCAACAGGCTTTGCTTAAGATGCTGGAAGGAACAGTAAGTCACATTATGCTTTCTTGTAGAATAGTAGTGGCTTGTATCCTGTAGTACATGGCCAAGGAACATTCTCTTCCCCTTCATGCTTTCTTGAATCCCATTAAACAAGGCTTGCAAATTGCACGCCCTTTTGAAATAATTGCACATTATCTGTATGGGGGGATATGTGGTGAAAGTAATCTCGATAAAGATTGCTGTAATTGTTGATTTTTCAAATATCCTTTGGGCTTTTGGGTATTAATCCAACTTATTGATTGCCATAAAAAACTTTGTTAAAGCTGGACGCAGAAGTTCTTCCTCTTATCTTCTGGCTGGTGTTTTGGATTTATTGAAGCTTACTTTGGTTTATATTGGCATTATTTTGGGACAAAAGCCAAAAAATTAAAGAATCTCTATGATCATAACCCCCAAATAACAGTAGTAGTTGAAAGAAAAGTGAAAAGCCACAGTTAAATCGAAAAGGTAACTGGCAAAAGCTACATATAACCATCGCGAAGAGGCCCTGTTAAGTATTTGAGTGAGCTAAAAATATCAGCACCAAAGATGTGTTTTTGTTGCAAATGATAAGTGTTAATATGCGTAATTGTTTGCAAAGTAATTAACCTTTCTTGTCTTACTTTTCTTGTGGTCAAGCTTGCACGTAGAGAGGAGAATGTCACTGCCAGAACATCCTATTTGCATTTGAGGAACACAAATAAGAACTCTGACTACCTGGTTAATCGTCTCGGTGGTTGTATATGAGTTCTCAAACCATTAGAATCTTGATAGAAGCTAATGACATTCCTACTCAACTTGATGGAGTGTTACCAAAAAATTTAAACTGTTGAAGGATCTGCATGCCCCCAAAGCCTGAGATTTAGATTTCATCATATTAGACACTTGTGCAAGATACAGAATGCGATTTTTGTGTGCCCAAGCTATTCAAGTTGCTTCAGAGGCAAAAGGGAGTTTGTCCACCTCTTCCTTTTTTTAGCAACTGTTTTTGTTCTCCAGATAGTAAATGTTCCTGAGAAGGGTGCGAGGAAGCATCCCCGAGGTGATAACATACAGGTATTCTGCTGTGAATATGCCCTTCTGTTGTGATCTATTTTTGCTTCATCTCCTGGTTGTGCTTTCAGGCTTTTCATGTCTTGCATTCACCGTATATATCGTATAGGACATTTGTGTATGGCAACTTTTGTGACCCTTGATAAGGTTCACTATTTGTGAAGGTGGCTGTGTTCTCTGTGGTTGATTGGGACTTCATCAGAAATGTCTTCATATCAAGTTTTCTTTAGCAGAATGAACACAATATTATTTCTCTCAAGAGTACAGATTTTAAAAGTAGGCATCATGTGAGAGCCTACTCATTTGCAAATTAACTGAAACACTTGCTTATTTTCTTAGTCTGGTTTCAATAGAATATCATCTCTTTACCTCCCCTATATGTTTAGCCTTATCTCATTTTGTCAGTCATTTTACCTGCTTTGGTCTTCTCTTGATCTTACTGTGCATCAGAGACTTTGGGATTTGAGTGGTTGCATGCTGTATTTATCTCCTCTATTGTCTCTATGCTTGTTTCATTTTGCCAGATTTCACGATTTTTATAAAGAGCAACTCAAATGCAGTCCCTTTACCTGCTTTGGTCCTCTGTTGATCTTATTCTGCATCAGAGAACTCTAGGATTTGAGTGGTTCTATGTTTATATTAAGTTTTTAGTGTTTCCTCTAATTGTTATGAAGAATTATTCCAGATCGACACGAAAGATATCCTTTTCATCTGTGGTGGTGCGTTTGTCGATTTAGAAAAAACCATTTCAGAAAGGTAATAAATTTTGACATCATTCCTTTGGTGAATTAAATCTTTCTCTCCATGTTGTTGGTGGCAGTATTTAACTACATAATGCTTTACCAGGCGGCAAGATTCTTCCATCGGATTTGGAGCACCTGTTCGTGCTAATATGAGAGCTGGTGGAGTAACAAATGCTGCAGTGACATCATCTTTACTTGAATCAGTACGGCAAAGCCTGTTTCGTTTTCTTCTTTGCAGAAGATGGATTGCTGCTCTCCACTCTATCTCTTGAATTAATTTTCATGATCTTCCTAATTCCCCCAATCATAATATTCTCTTGAGATTTTTTCTGTTTTGTTTTCAGGTGGAAAGTGCTGACCTTATTGCATATGGCCTCATCCCAGAGTTTATTGGACGCTTTCCAATTTTAGTCAGTTTGTCAGCTCTGACAGAAGATCAACTTGTTCAGGTAATCTTTTTGATACTTGCGAAATGTGTTTAGCCATTTTCAACTTTCATAATCTGGACCATAATGCTACTTTCTCAATCTGTGGATTTGGTTTGATGTCTTCTTTTGATTATTACTATTTCAAAGTCCTTTGTGCTAACCTTTTCGCTGATTTCAAACGAAATGATTGCCCTCATTGACAATACTTCACAACAAGCTTGAATAATTCGAATGTTAATTCTGTTTGCAAACTTGTAATAGAGTAAAATCTGCCTAGCCAAGCTCTATTGAAGTACGATTCGGTAGAATCTGTATAATGTGATGAAAACCTTGCCATTCCTTAGTTTTAAACGGCATTACCCCATTAGTACGAGATAGATTCAAATGTTTCTGTGAATGAATTGTGGTGTTTGTTTCCATAGTTTTGTGTAACTAGAGCGTCTTTGCCTGGAACGATGCTGGATGAATGATGTATGCAGATGGGAAAATCAGCTTGTAGAAAATTTGTCAAAGCCGTCCCATTTGATCAATGGACCATCAGGTTAAATCAGCTTGTCAATTTCCTTATAAAATTTTTGAAGTTGAAAAGCAGTACTATCGAATAAATAAAGTTGCAATGAATAGATTTTACCATAATAACATCTAAATGATTGGTGACTTTAAACAAGGTTGGAAAATTATGTGATTACAAATTAAGTAATTTTATACTTTTCAATTATCCATATGATTTAATTGAAGATATTCATATACAGACTTCATATACTATTTTCTCTATTGCTTGTTTCATTTCAATTAGTACTGATGTTGGGAGATTGAACTGGCCTCTCTAGGCAAAACTATTCACAGGACTACTTTTTGATGGATCCCATTTGGAGGCTAACCACTTTTTTTTTTTATTTTTTTTATTTCGATCGACTTTAGAGAACCACTTGAGCCGAAAGATTGTGGCACTTTCTGCAGATTTGAGTATTTTTATTGACCATGATTTTGCATCCTAATTGGAGTCTGCACTTTATATGAAGTATTTCAGCGATCTAGTTCAGCTTTAGAAATGTAACAACATAAACTACTGGTCATGTCACCTTACCAAAAAAAAAAAAAAACTACTGGTCATGTTGCTTCATCTTCAAAATGGTTTTGTTTGCAGGTCCTCACAGAACCAAGAAATGCTCTTGGCAAGCAGTACAAGAAATTGTTCAGCATGAATAATGTAAGTCTTCCTCTCATTCATCTTTATATGAACCCCCTTCCCCTCAGCCAAGCACACTGGCATGTGTGCACACAATCCACATTCTTACAAAGCAAAAAAGAAAACTTGGAGATTAATCTAGTAGATATAGCGATACGAGTAATTTCAATGTCATTTGTCCTCTTATATTCTTACCCAATTTCAGGTCAAGCTACATTTTACAGAAAAGGCGCTGAGATTGATTGCTAAGAAAGCAATGGTAAAAAATACTGGCGCCAGAGGTCTAAGGGCCATCCTTGAAAGCATTTTGACAGAAGCAATGTATGAGGTATAACAAAGAGTTATCGTGGTAATCACAGGCACCTGTTCTAGTTACGCTGCTTCTTAGCCATTGGCCTTTCGTATGTTTCAGATTCCAGACATGAAGACAGGAAATGAGAGAGTAGATGCAGTTGTCGTAGATGAAGAATCTGTGGGATCAATTGAAGCCCCAGGATGTGGAGGAAAGATTCTTCGGGGAGACAGTGCATTGGAGCGTTACCTTGCCGAAATAAAATTTGAAAACTCAGCGGTATGATTCTGCAGATTTATGTGGTCCGGGCCTGTAATTTACCTTCGACACTTGATTGAAATTGTCGCTACGTTATTTTCCTTTTGTTGTCTCAGTGAACTGGTGGTTGTGTGCACCTTCACTGCATGCATCTTATACATGATCATGAATGGGAAAAACCCATAGGTGCAATTTTTTTGCTAAATTTTAGCTTAAGAGCATTGTTTTAACTTGAGTGTGCTTGGCAATTCCTCTTTAAGGTGCTTGATTTTATCAAATCCGATTCTTTCGTCCAGTCCACTTTTTACTCGGTTTGTTTCTTGGATACGGCGTTTATGATGTGCCCGAATGGTTTCTAATTCCCGTATGCTTGTTGCAGGCAAATGTGGATGCAGCCGAAGGCGAGATGCAGGATGGCGAGTCGGATGTATCATCAAGGGCCGTGAGCTTGTGAGGTTTTTACTGCAAATAGATAACGTGGCTGAAAAAACGCATTGCTGTTTCGGGAATTAATAATTGGGTGTAATTATACCACTGTAGACAACATATAGCTCAGTTCAATTTCAATAGGAAATAGGAATTTAGTGAAGAAAAGTAAATCTTTGAGCGCCGTTAATTGAGCTGCTCCTTGTATAAAACTTTAATTGCAATTAAAGAGGTTTAACCGATGAAAGAATTTGGGCGTGTTCTTGCTCAAGCATGTATTTATCCTTAATAGTTCCATAAAGATTGTCCTCTGATCTCTTACCAGGTCCCAACATTACATTACTTTGACTTAACACATGTAAAGTTTATTTTTTCCATTTATGGTCAACCTATGCCCAAAATAAATTTGATGCCAGCTGGCCAGGACAGTGTTTAACTATTCACGGACCTTGATGGCTAAATTAGCTTTGGCTTTATGCGGCGGTTAATGTTCGTCGCCAAATTGTCATAGAACCTTGCATACAATCTTCTCTTGAATGCAATAACGAACCTGAGTTTGACAAGATCATCTTTTATGTTGCAAAGCATCATCTAAGCAACCTCATCGAAGAAACAACATAGTTAACAGAAAAGTACAAGATTTTTCTTCCTGTAAGTTCAGGAGGAACCTTGTTTAGAAAGAAGCTAACACTCGCTCAACTTCAATACAAGATGATAATATGAATCTTTGGTAGTCAGTCTCCGACATGTTCATCCTTCAGTTGACAGCAATTGAAATCTAGTGCCTCCTAGTAAGCATATATTAGATTGGCAGATACATGAAGTTACCAACACTGTTCCAAATCCTTAGTTCTTTTCCAAGCTGTAGTGCTTGTTCACAGCTTCGACGACATCCCAAACAAGCTTCATGCCTTTAGGGAATACAACCAGATCCCCGCCTCCGATTTCGAAAGAACCATCATGCCCGTCAATATACACTATGACTTTCCCTTCCAGCAAGTACATTGTCTCCGTGGATTCGAAGGTCCATGGGAACTTACTCGGACCGCATCCCCACCTGGTCATATTACATCATCCTTGTAAGCTACCGATATAATCACGCATCAGTATGTTTAGTGAGAATATTAACTCCTGCTCTTTAATTACTCTTTTTCTTCAGCAGCATGACTTCTTTTATAAGCCGTTGTAACGTACAAAACACAGAAACAAGATTTGATTCACAGTTTTATAACTGCTGACACTTCTTGCATATGTCAAATGACAACAGCACAAGATTTTCACGTCTCGCTAATGTATCGCCCCTCTTATAATCAACCCTGCATCGGCAGATCTTGCACAAGAAAGTATAACCAAATTAACTGGATGAATGCGGCAAGTAGACAGAAATGCAAATTTGGGTCTCGCCGGTTCTCTCAAGGAAGCTTGCTTTGGAAATGTCCGGCTTTGAAAAAAGTTTCCATTGTCACTGAGGTTTAAAACAATTAATTGAAGAACAAGAAAAACAAATTCCAAGGTTCTTTAGTTTTCAAGAACACTATTTTCCTCTTCAAAAAACTCAAAAACAAGGAAAAAATTGAGCTTTCCAGTCACTTCTCTTGCTGGCCAATGTCCCACTCTTCAAATTAGTAGCAGAAGGCCTTGCAATGACTAGATAGGGCAGATCTTGAATTTAGCAATTACAGTGGATTTAGTTCTGCAACTACTCCTAGAACTACAAGTCTGAGAAAAGACAAAGGAAATCTTCCTGGATGTATAAGGAGTCATTATCATGGTCATTAAGATATAATTCCGAACTAATTTAGCTAAAACTTGTAGTCCTTTCATTTTTTATTTACTGAATTTACCAGAGTATAATGTTTGAGTAGAAAGTATTGAGCTAGACTGAGGCTGGCAAAAACGAGGTGTCTTGTTTGGTAGTGCGACTTCATTCATATACTTTATCCACTAGAGCTGAACATTTATGGGGAATAGAAATATATGAAACACAAGCCACAGGCAATAGCCCAATGGTTCTGCATTGAGTAGGGCAAGTTTTCAGTCTGATCGAAAGCCACACAAACTCAGGACTAAGAAAGACGACAAAAGCAAGATGGATAATTCATAATGTTGCTCATGTACATGATGGTTTAACCAAAGATGAGAAAGACAAACTCTGTATTACTCATAATGTTGTGACATGTTCATCCGTAAAAAATGTTTGAAAACCCTAAAATTTAAGTCTTTCATATTTGATGGGCTAAAATTACAGCATGGCATAAATGCTTGTTTCACACAGAGAATGTAGAGTACGATATCTCATGCTTCTGGCTTTTGCCACCATTTTAAATCACAGGATTCCAGCAAGATTCGGGTTGTGGGCAAAATAAAAAAAAGGAGCTTTCTCCATAAAACCATGAGCAAAGGAGACGAAAGAAACAGAGCAAAACTTCAAAGCAGCTTCTTCATCTCAACATCACTACATATTAACTACCGAACTAAATTTCTCCGAAGTGACTCAAAAACCAGAACAAAAATGAAATCAAGAACAAGAAATCTCCACGCAGACACAACATCAGCAGTTGACACCAGAGCTCAACGAAAGTTCAAAAGACAAGAAAAGCTAAAAAAGAAAGCGTACTTGGGCCAGTTGGCGACGCCAAGCTCATCGAGTTTGGACTGAGGAGGATTCTTCTCTATCTTAACACCGTGAACCTCCGTCACCGATCTCGCTTCTCCTTCTGCTGCCGGTTTAGACATGGCCACTTTCTTCGATCTGGGTACTGTGACAACCAAGTAGGAGAGGAGCAGAGCCGACAGAGCAAGCAGGGAAAGAGAGCGGAATTTGGAGGGGAAATAGTTCGACGCCATTAAAGGAAGAGGAGCTCTTATTCCTCGGAGAGAATCACGCGCTTTTGCTTCTTTCTTTGTTGTTTTATTAAGGAAAGGTGGCGACGAGGCAATCGCAAAAGATTTCCTTTTGATTCCCATTACGTTGTACTTTGTTACTGTAACGTTCAGGACACGGTGAACTGATTGGTCCGGTAAGCATCTCTGAGAAAAGCGATTTCATGACAAAATCCAATCTTCTTTTCATTCTAGTGCTCCACTAAAGGGTACAAAAAATGACACCTCGAACGAGCAATTTCAAGATAGTTGCTTGAAATTCGAGGTGGTGCTTACACTTGAATTTGGTCCGAAATAACCGCGGTCTGGAACACTCAGTTCGTGCTTTTGGATAGTTTTGGTAACAGATTTCGCCCATGCCGCATATAAAGCCATCGATGTTGCCATCACTTAGGATCTTATGCCTGCCATTTGGTTCAAAAAGATACCTGAACAACGCCAAAGGAGCTGCGACAACGTGCTATCGCCACCCCTCTTCAGCTACTCTCTAACTCTCTCTGGTTTGCCTACTAATGATCAGGAGGGGCGGCATGGCATCAGTAGCGATCCGAGAGGGTGGCGCAGCCATCTCTGGCTACCAAAGGCGACAATTTGTGCACGAACCCTGGACGCTGCGAGGATTTAAGTTTGATGTACTCGCCGACGCGATCAAGGTTTCAAGACTCTCGAAGGTGAATGTTGCCACAGCCCAACCTCCCTCCATCCCCCACTTCTCTCTCTTCACCTTTTCTTAAATAATGTTGGGTTTGCTGATGTGGCCCCCAAGTTGATGATGATGATGATGATGATGATGAGGCCAAGCCTCCCACCCTCAAGGAACGAATAGTTCGGTACAAGGAAGATGATATACACAGAAATTCTCAAAACGTTCACCAAGAAACAAGAGATTTCCCAACATGAAAGGAAGAAATTTGGAAAATAAGAGCCAAGGTAGAAGATTTTAAGATAGACGTATCAGTTGACATGCTACGGTACCATAACAACATAGAGACCTCATAGCAGAACATAACTGTGTAATAACTTAATGGAGTTTCTATGGGCCGTATCTCAGAAACAGCATTATGTTGACCTCTCTCTAAGTAAGGGGCGAAATATGCTCCATCAAAGGGTATACCTACTCAAAGTTATAGTGCTTGTCGACGGCGACTGAGACATCCCAAGTGCAGCTCATTCCTTTTGGGAACACAACCAGATCGCCAGCGCCAATCTCCACAGCCTCGTTTGCTCCTTCAGGAGTGACCTTCACCTTTCCCTCTAGAAGATAGCAAGTCTCCTTAGAGGAATATGTCCATGGGAATTTGCTCGGAGGGCAACCCCACCTGTTGGTCCGACCCAACAAAAACACAGGTCAGATTAAAGTAGCATGTGATGAGAGCAGATAGCTATGGATCTTCCTGCTAATTAGTTGCAAAAATCAAAGAGATAAAAGTGCCACGACAATGCCAGTGAGCTCCGGCTGCCAGTTCAGTCTTAACAAAGATAGAACGGCGAAAATGAAGTCATATCCACTATTCAATCAATCAAGACAATTCAATCAAATGCAATAAAATACTAAGCGAATCCGCAGTAAACAGGACATTATGAGCAACTACAGACAAACAGAATGTGTTGCCAACCATAAACCAACTGGTCCATGCTATCAGACAGATTTGTCGGCTGAAACACAAGTATCAAGCACCAAATCATCTCTGCTTATAAAAAAAACCAATACAGCAACGGAAGAATTCATAAAGCACAAAGTCTTGGAGCTACCCTGTGCATATTGTGCCTATAGGATTGAAGCTCCATATGTTCCAGCATACAATTGTTCAGATATATCAGCCAACTCTTTGAGAACCTTGGTTTCCGCATTCTATGTCCAGTAATGCTTTAAACGATTATGAGTCAAGTAGTAGGTTAGCCCTCGTAAGGCCCCCAACTAGTTCAGTATCTGTCTTAACATCAGGAATTGCGTAAAGGGACGACCTTGTTAGAAACTCCTCTCTCTTCATTTACTGTAACGTGCCAATCATTGCACAAGAGCAAAAGATTAGCTACTGTATCCAACAATAGATCGATTAACTATCGCGAGACAAAGATAGGTGGACCCTAAAGAACCTTTCGATTGTGAAATTAAGAAGATCTTGAAACGATGAAAACTAAGGTACATCATGCTAATTTTAGAGCAAGGTGGTTCCATCCTTTGCTCACTGGCATCTGTCTACATCTCACTGTTCCCATTCTGCACCACTGCGTGAAGACAGTTTTCAAGCTATTAGCTTCCAAGGCCCTACGCCCAATTCCACAACCACTTGACTTTGAACCAAAAAGACCCATTTCATCGCCTGCCAACACGAATTTACGTTCGAGCAGCGCCGAGCATCCGGGCTATCAATCACGCCGACGAAATGGTGCCGTCCCAGAAGGAACAGAAGCATAAATTTAGACACCCACGTACGAATTCGAGGCAGAGAGCCCAGGGAAGACGAGTCGCCACAAAAGAACAGCACAGGAGGAAGACCCAGAATCTGGAAACGAAGAGAAAAACAAGAGAGACGTACTTAGGCCATTTGCGAACGCCGAGCTCAGTGAGCTTAGGCTCGGGAGGGTTCCTCTCGACCTTGATGCCCAGCTTCTCCACCACGCTGCTGCTCATGCTCTCGGCCGATGCTCTGATCGATGTGAGTGCCAAAGTTGTTCGCTTTGAACGGTGGTGGCTCGGGGATTTTAGCAGGGACCGGTTCGTTAATAAGCCATTGCTGGTCGCACAAGAGCATGCCATTTCTACTTATCTTTTCTTTCTCTTTTTGCCTTTAATAAATCTCCTCCTTCTATCTTCTGATGCTTTATATGTTTGGACTAAACTGTGTTGGCAGCCACTCGTTTCTCATCCCATTTGCTTAGGTTCAGTATCTGTCTTAACATCCGATGCACCCACCTGTCCCTGTCCAAGTGTCTCCATCCTCGAACGCCACGATTCGGCAAGAAAATAGCCCGATGCTCGGATGAAAAGAGCCATGGCTCATGGCCACCGGCCCGGACGGCAACCATGCAGCACCACTTACGCCCGTTTGGTTCGACTTTGGGAGAATGCAAATATCTTTGAGCTAAAGGGGTTTTTCGAAATGCAAATAGTATTTGGTAAGTGTTTTTTTAAAATCAACTTGGGCTAAAGGACTTTTGCTAATATTTTTTTATTAAAAAAAAAAAGCTCCGGTGGAGCTTAATCACCGGCCAATTGCCGACGGCCAGATCTGGGTGCCGGCCACCACCGCCTGGGGTTGCCGGGGTTGCGCGACCCTCAGGCGACCATCGCGCTAGGGTCGCGCGACCCCGAGGTCCGGCGACCCCAGACAGCAGTCGCAGGGGTCGTGCAACCCCCAGGCGGTGGTCGCCGGGGTCGGGCTAGCCCTCAGGCGGCGGTCGCCGGTCGCCGGACCTGCCTCTGGGGAAGATGAACAATGACGATGAGCAGTACAAGTTGCATTCCGAAATTGCAACTTTTCAAAGCACCTCCACCCTTGCATTGGCCAAAGGTCTCTTGGAGAGCATTTCAAATGCAATTGCATCTCCCCAAAGTGAGTAAAAAAAATTGCCAAACACCATTTGCATTTGGCCAAGGGACTTTAGAACCCAAATGAGCATTCTAAATGCTGAACCAAACGGGGCCTTATTGCCACGGCTCCTGGCTACCGACATTACATATGATTTAGCGTGTGTAATGTCTCTTGATTGTTGAATTCACCCCTTTGTTTTTCTTTTCTTACCATTCATTTGGATCTCTTTCCCTTCATCACTTTTGCACGGATCCTCCTTTCCTTTCCGGAAAATGGGAAGGAGAAGGATCTTCATTGGTGGATCCCTTTTGTTCCTGTTTAGTCTCCTTAATGCAATTCTTCGTACTCACACAACAGACCTTGTGCACTGTCAATGGACGAAAGTTAATGGATGAGATTGTTTTTTCCAATTTAGCACAATGAGTGAGAGCTATTGAATTGTTGCACAAGATCATTAGATAAGTTTATGGGATAAATTTTAGTTTTTCTTTAGGTAAGGAAATATTAATCCTTCTTTGGTCACCGAATCCGAACAAAATACATAGTGATGGTGGTCTGAACTTACAAATTTGTACTTCTTTTGGCACACCCTACAAGGGGGAGAAATCACAAAGTATATCAAGTACTTTTTAAATCGTTCAATGTGTCGATGAACTCAAAAAATTTTCTTTTATAGACGAGCGTGACTGCCGTTGCTTTATGTTTAATGAGAGCATTCGCAAACACGTCACACGGCATAAGTATCGCATACGATATTTTTTGGATTGGAGAGGAAGTCGTGATTTTCGATACAGAGATTCTAATCAAGAGTGGCTCATGCAACTAGGCTGATGCTTAATTTGAGTGGCATAAAACTGTAATGTAAATCATATTTACCCTGGCTTCGAGACATCAGGTGGTCGTTTTTCTAGTTCAAACCACGTGAGACTCGTAGCATAACAACAACCACCACCTACAAGACTCAACCTGATGCAAACAGGAAACTCCTATCCCTCATCTTGTAAGCGCATATGCATCGAATCACCATGAACAAAGCCTCCACATTTTCCTCTTCTCCTCTTTCGCCTACGACAATGTTATCGAGCTCATTTCGCTACGTCGAGATGTCCCGTTCCGGCACCGCCACCTGAAGACATGGGAGGAATCCCCTGCTGATTACTGAACACATTGAGAGGGTCGATCTTTGTTTTGGCTCGCACGAGCCTCTCGTAATTCCCCAGGAAGTACTTCTCACCCCACACCCGGGCGATCTCCACTGCACCATCGTTACTAGCACTAGGATCAATCAGTCGCATCACCCCAAGATCAAGGTCCATGTAATTGATATAAGCTGCCCTCGGACCGCTTGAGACATGGGGCGTCATCGAATCGTGGAACCCTCTGATCCATTTCAGGTACCCGTCTCTTCCCTCGTTGTCGTTCTCATGCCACTCGACGAGGTACTGGATTGTGAACAAGTTGCCTTCCCGGTGCGGAAAAGCAATGGATTTGCTACTTATGTTGTGCATGATTCCTCCATAAGGGTCCAGGATCACATACCCTTTGGGCTCTGCCTCGAGTATGTCCAGGGCTTCCAGGATCCCACTCAAGGAAATTGGAGACCTCACGTAGTCCGATTTGGCTTTGAAGTACTTGTAGTCTATGAACCGGTTTTTCAAGTCCAAAATGGAGCTTCCATCGCCAAGCCCCGAGAAGAACAGGACGGACTCAATCCAGCTCATTTCCTTGCAATCTTCTTCCTCAATGCCAAGCTCTGGAAATTTCCGGATTATGAGAGAGACGGCTTCAGTTCTTGGACCCAGAAAGAAGCCCTTGAAGGTAGCTGAAATCCCTGTTGTCTTCATCTGTGGCAAATCAGCTCCTACGAAAGCTGATAAATAGAAGTCATCTTCTAAGTTAGGTGCAATGTGCTGCCACTTGTCGACCAACTTTGCTACTCGGTGTTTTGTTCCTGGCCTAGAGACTATGAAGCCTGTCACTTTTTGTGGCACATGTAATAACTTGATCTTCCAGGCATAGATAATCCCCCAGAGGCCGCCGCCGCCACCGCGAATTGCCCAAAACACATCTTCCCCCATGGCTTTGCGGTCCAACAACTGCCCCCTTGAGTCTACAAGGAGCGCATCGACCACATTATCTGCCGCTAGTCCATATTTTCTTGACAATAGCCCGAATCCGCCACCGCTGATATGTCCGCCCACTCCCACGGTTGGGCACGACCCTGCTGAAAACCCGTGGACATCGCTCGCTTGTGAAATGGCATAGTAGGTGTCTCCTAGCGTAGCCCCACCTTCAACCCAAGCTGTCTCGGTGGCAAGGTCCACGCGGACCTGATTTAGATTCATCATGTCGATGACCGCAAACGGGGCTCCGTTGGTGGCCACCCATGAAGTCCCTTCGTAGCTGTGCCCACCGCACCGTACTCTGATTTCCCACGCGCCTTCCCTGCAACACACAACGCAACTCCTGAGCTGCTCGACACTATCCGGGAAGATAATCACGACCGGTTTGGGGACCGCAGGGCCTGAAAACCGCAGATTATGGATGGAGGAATTGAGCAGCGCATAGTACTGTGTCGACTCATTTTCGGTGGTGGGGATAGTGGTGAAGTTGTTTATGTTGTGTTGCGTCAAACATGAAGCAATGTTGTATGTGGATGAGCAGAGAGCAGGAGCGAAAAGAGACATGACCACGAACACACAGCAAATTAAGAAGAGTTTGATGGAGTTCATCATCATCACCATCATGTTTTGGGATTGAGAAGAGGGCAAAGCAAAGGAGGGACTTTAATGGAAAAGTGGAGAATCACCTTCTTCATTGAAGACAAACGCATACGTGGCCGGCCATTTCTTTTAAATTTTTGCAGTAGTTTACCGAAGTTGAAACTCCTGTCTTGCGTATTTAATGGGGGCTCAAACTTCCATTGCATGGTGACAAAAGCAGGTTGCAATACCAATCAAGGGTCTGAAAATATGCAAGTCCATGTATTCTTTATGTACAACTAGCCAAATTCTTTCCAAATTGCGACCGGTTGAGTGTCTTGATAGAACTGAGCCTGTACGACGGTATCTCGAGGTCGAACATGTTTCACAACATAGTGGTTCATGGAACATGCGTGCATTTTCAGCAAAGTGCTAAGGAGAACAAACAAAGAAGAAATACTCATCGAATTGATGCCACAGGTTACCTGATCCTAGAATGGAGCAGGAGCTGAGGCCGGCCAATCATGAAGTCCAAGCCACTTGTGTGTTTCTGCTTACCTGTTTGTATGTGGAGGTAACCCACATCTCCATCCATGCCAAAACGTTGATATGATGTCTCCTAATAAACAATTTGACAGCTCCTGATTTCGGGAAAATTGTCCAAAAAGCCCTAAATTTTTTAAATTTGCCAATTCAGTCCTAAACCTTTTTACTTCTTGCTAATTGAGTCCATCCGGGCAATTTTAGTCGGCCGGCGCTGATGTGGCCGCCGGCCGTCTAGCCAACGCTGACGTAGCATTTTTAAATATTTTTTTTCAAATTTTAATATTTTTTTCTTTTTTTTTTTTGCCTTCTTCCCTCTGGCTAGTTCGACGACTGGCCAGAGGCGCAGGCCGGCGAGGCCGATCTCGCCGGACTTTGGCGAAGCTTGCCCCCTCCGGCCACTGGCAAGGACGAGCCTCGCCCACCGCTACCAGGCCGACCTTGCCCAACCAAGGCGAGGCTAACTTGCGACGGTGTTGGCTGGCCTCGCCGTCACTAGGTGAGGTGAAACCCAGCGACGGCGAGGTCGACCTCGCCATGGCTGGTCGAGCGAATCTTGCCAGATCTGGGCGAGGCTGACCTCGCCGTCGCTGGGTTTCACCTCGCCCAGCGACGGCGAGGTTAGCCTCGCCTTGGTTGGGCGAGGTTGGCTTGGCAACGGCGAGCAAGGCTCGCCCTCGCCAGGGGTGAGCTTTGCCAAAGACCAGCGAGGTCGACCTCGCCGGCCTATGCCTTTGGCTGATCGCCAAATTGGCCAGAGGGAAGAAGGGCAGAAAAAAAAAAGAATAAAAAATTCGAAAAAAAATATTTAAAAATTACCTCGTCAGCGTCGGCCAGATGGCCGGCAGCCACGTCAGTGCCGATCAGCCAAAATTGGTCGGATGAATTCAATTGGCAAAAAGTGAAAAAGTTTAGGATTAAATTGGTAAGAAGCGAAAATGTTTATGACTGAATTGGCAAACTTAAAAGGTTGAGGACTGAATTAGCAAAAGTGCAATAGGTTTAAGACTTTTTAAACAATTTTCCCCTTGGTTTCACACAAGAAGAAGCAAGAAAACCATTCCGGTCGGATCACGCCTTGCCGGTCTCTTTCTGCAGAAAAGATGACTAAGAACGCACCCTCATGCTTAAATCAATTTCTTTTGCAAGCACTTCGCAGCCAATTGCATGATCCAAAGCCTGATAGGGCTAGGAGTTTTTGGCTCACTGGCCCTAATTAACATAACATCAAGGGGATTTACAAACGCACTCTTCCATCACCATCAACACAGATGGCTGAACCAAAGTGCTGTCCTCTGCTTGACCTCTCTCTTGCGTTTCGCCGGAACAGAGAGTTAACCCGGAGCGATTTGTCCTGACTGCATAACTTTTCTTGTCGATAGACAACATTAGCAGTCGCCGTTCTAATTTTCTACTCCGCCAAAGAAATGTCGATTTAGGCAGCCACTTGTCGAGTGTTGACATGTTTAGACTAGTATCCAAGCGGATATAGCACATTAGAATCGTTTCTGTTGCCATTAGATGTTTTTTATGACTACCGGCGGAATCATATGAGCAGATATATCCATTAATCATTATAAATCTTCAACACGGCAGGACTTTCATATTAGCTTGCGGCGTATACTGAAGCGAGACAAAAGGGAGGCACTATATGATTATAACTCGGGCGTGCGCGCACAGGGAGACTTTAGAATTTGTGCCATGAAAGAAGGTGATCTAGCTTCTTCTAGGTAGATTCGTAGACATGGTTCTATGGTAATTCAACTGCTGTTCCAGGAGACAATCGATTGCGGTTCAGCTTGAAAAAAAAGGGCCTAATTTTTTCTGTCAAGCATGCATTTGTATCAGATTTCAGACCCAACGAATATGGAAGATCGTCCTGAAAAGACTTTCCGCACCTTCTTTTTCGATTCCAACAATGAACTCACCACGAAAAAGTAAAATCACACGATATAAATTCTCTACCGTACCTATGCGGGACATGTAAAGCCAACAAACCTGGAATTCGTAGATACTCATGAAAGTATGAAACAGCAATCAACTGTTCACATAGATGTAAATCTAGTTGTACAAGATAGGGTAAGTTACAAAATTGGCTACTTAACATGGTTAATCAGACTTTTGTAATCAGCGCTCAGCTATTCAAAAGCCATTAGATTCGGAAAGGCGTTTCTAGACTACCGTTTTATGTACTGATAACGCCTTCTCTTTGAAAGCCCTTCGCATCGCAAATCATAGTTCTTGCCATATGGCATATGCCTCACTTGCTCGCTGGAAATGATTTGGCTGAAAAGGGGAATAGACTCCTTCCACTAGTATGGCTGTTAGAAAACACATGATGAGGCGAAAATGTAAATCAAACGTTTTTTTTCTAGCCAGAAGCCATAATACGGGTCGTGGTCTAGAATCATTACTAATTTCTCTTTTTCTCTTTACCCCAAAAAGCCCAGTTCTTTACTTCTATTCTTTCTTTTTCAAAGTCACGATCGGTCAATCGGGGGTAGGAAGCTAGGCTATGGTAATTCAATTGTGTGGTGGGCAAGGTATAATATGTCTTGGGACAGCTTCTAACTTCCAGATGTAGAGGCAGAGGCAGGATTCCCAGAGCACCACGAAAGAGGTGGAATGAATCAACATTGGCAGAACGGGACACTGCATAACCATTTCGGGCGTGTTTTCTTTTCAAAAAATGTAATTGCGTATTGGTCGGAACTCACATCCTAGCACAAAGATATGCTTAAAAATAGCTGGATGAAGAGGCGGAGTTTGTCTCGAGAAATTAACAAATAAAAGGGGAAAAATTATTCACATATATTATTCATGGCATGTCTTCCACCTCTCTATCACAACCTTGAACTGGTCATCTCGCCTCCTGATCTGAAAAACCAAGGAGCTTCTAAGCTGTATAACTGAAACCGAAGAAAAGAGATCACTGTATTCTAGGTCAATGATGGCAAGAATCATACAGATTAATAAGGGATTATTTCTCATTCTGCCAGTTAATCACAAATCAGGCACCAGCAAAGGCAAAAGACCATACTCCATGTAAATCCACTTGAAGTTCTATGTCACTAGATTGTTATTCCATTAGGTTCTCTGACAAAAAGAGTTGCATAGGTTGAAATCATTACCTCAACAAGAGGCAATTTACCATGAAGCAACATATCCACGCTCTTTTCTGTCTGCAAAACAAGGTGAAAAATTGGTAATCTGAAAGCATAATTAAGTCGATAATTTATTGTCCCACATTGTTAGGTGATTTCCTCTTAAAGAATAAAGCTCAGATGTCCATGTATTTGGTAAGTATCAACTAGCAAGTAACAGATGCCCAACCACAACATAAACAAATAGCAAGTGGAATCCAACTAAGGTACATACACACAATAACAGAGAAGGCGAAAAAAAGAACAGTCGTAACCACCATGTTTCGAACATAAACTGAACATCTAACAACATAACATCAGCAGTCATTTAACACCATGTCAAGCAAGGTTTTAAATTGTGGTTATGGTCAGAGAAGCAGTCACACAATGGTAGTCACTAATGCGGCCATAGTGGATACCCAATAGCATAGAGCAGTTATATGAAGCAATTATATTTAAAATGTTGACACAAATAAAATAGAATCAGAAATTAACTTCTGCGACTTGAATATAACTTTAGTTACAATTTTATATGAATAATAGAATTTTTTTGAACGCATCCAATGATGTCAAGAAATTGCAGTATGTTAATCGAAGAATGAATTAGATGTAAAGTTAAATAGCTTTTTGGTTATTTCATTGCTATTAATGATGAAAAAATAAGAGTAGAATTTGTATCAAGAATCCAATAGGAGTAAAAAACAAAGTGACCAAGAGAAAAGGTGCCGGGATTCAAAACCCCTCATGTGCTGTGAGCTCCAATACCATATTAAGCAATCCTTTTCCCAAAAGCTTGAGTTGCTGGAAACAGGCTCAATGCTCCATGTCAAGAATTAATATTTCATATAGCCAATGAAAAGAGACTCTCGCTCAAACTATGTGCGCAGTGAAAAAAGAAAAAGAATTGCTTCACTGATTCAGCCAAGAGGGGGTGAACAGCATCAGTACATACCCGATGCATCACCCAATAGCACCTGTTCCTCATCTCTACCACGAAAGGAAATGTTGGAGGAGCTTTTCTCTCAAGAACAATCTTTCGAGATCTCCTTAGTCGAGCTTCATCATCGCCTAAAGTAACAGCTCTTACTCCCCCGACCTGAGCATATATTAAAGTCACAATGATCAATCAAAAAGAGAAATATAAAGACTTAAATCACAATACCACTTTAATTATTGACAAAATACACAATAACATGTGAGAGCAACTCTCATCAAGGTATAGGAATTCAACATCCAAAATCTAAACAAAATCCGGCATTTGCTCCTCAAAAACAGAAGTTGATTCAAGGATGAAAGTTTTTGCATAAGGAGTCTGTTAATGAGTGGCTTAAGGGAAGTTGTTAAGTAACCAAATAAGAACAATTTACAGTTGCATTTCTCGTTCTTGTGTAATTAATGCTTAGAAATCAAAACATTCCTTAATAAGTATGTTTATAAGTGCCCCGTAGACATTCATTAACAAGATCCTTTGCATGATACTTAGACTAGGATGAAAGGGATATTCAGAAGCACTTGTTGTCCATTTGAAGAAATCATCAGGACAATTGTATTTCCAGATGAGCAGTTCAGTTATAAAGGGATAACACTCTAGAGTGAGAATCTCTATGGCACTTTTCTAATAGAGATGTTTCAATAGCGCTGAAATTTGATGAAAATCATCCACATCCCTATCCGTTCTCTCCCATCTCAAACCAAAGAAACAGAGCATCTGCTTTGCACAGGGTGAACCTACTTCGATAAGACAGCAAGAGTAGTTGTCATCAGTAGGTGTAAGATACTAAGAGGTGATAGGAAACTTGCCAGTACATCTAGAACATGACAACTTACTGATTGTAAGAGCTCTGGAAATTAAGATAGTTGGAAAATACATCATCTAAATTTTCCTCGATGAACTTTTGAAGGGGAACTTTCATCTTAAATTACCGCGTTATGCTTGGTCACATCGAGCAATTCATAGGTCTAGGCTTTTCATATTCTTGTGGCGCAAGGTGGAAGGCAAAATCAAAGAGAAAATTGAGCAAAGAAGGTGTAAATAATATAACCCCATATGGACATGATTAATTGATAATTTGCAAGTTTTCCAAAAAAAATCCTCAGAAATTCAAACGCACCAGGTCAGAAATATTAGGGTTCTTTAGCATGTTCTTAAGTGTTTCACCATGTGCTGTCCCAATAAGCATGACACCTCTTTCAGCGATTGACTGACAAGCAAAAGCTTCGGCCTTAGTGCTAATTTCATCAACTATGATCACTTCAGGCATGTGATTCTCCACCGCCTCGATCATGACCTTGTGCTGCAATAATGGTTCTGGAACCTGCAATCTTCGGGCACTTCCTATAGCTGCATGTGGTACATCTCCATATCCACCTATTTCATTGCTTGTATCGACAATCACCTATATTAGGAGAAGTGAGTTCAGAGGTTTTTCTAATCTTTCAGGGGAAACGAAGAGGTGGTGACAGACAAGACACAGTAGAATCAAAGATGAGAAAGCATTGCAAAGAAGAAGCTCAACTTACCACTCTTTTGCAAAGTTCATCAGACAACACACGAGCTAGATCTCGCATTGCAGTTGTCTTACCAACACCTGGCCTTTCCAATATAAGAAAGTACATCAGAGCAGGTTTCCACAGCATAATTAAAGGGCATAATTGCTAAAGAAGAAATAAGTATAAACCCGGGGCCCTTTTTCGAGTTGGCCCGACCTATTAAAGGTAGCAGAGCAATACCCCATCCATAGGTTTTACATCACCGCTAGCCCCTGTTAGCCTGCCATTTGAAATGGCTATTTCTTTCCAGCAGCGGTGTACAGTTTGGCAAGAAGTACTACTACAATATGATTATTAGTTACTAGAAGTTCTTTGAAAAATCAAAAAAAGAAATTACCAATTAAACAGTACCTCTCAAAGAAAGAACCTCTAGGCAAGAATTCATCAGAAAGAAGGAAATAAATGATAAAAAAATCTCTTTAAAGTGATTTTCTCATGGCTGCACTGGAAGCTCGTGTATTGGGTCATACGGTATTAGGACACATAAGATGTGTTTTGTTGTCCATATAAAGTATAGATATAATGGCCTTAAATCAGACAAGAAATCCTCAACGTTTCTTATGCACTATCATTAGTTTGAAAATTCATTTCGCATAACCTGGGAAAAACACAAATGCATTATTCATGGGCAGGGAAGCGCCACCTATTATAATGCATTTTGTGGACCATATAATAGGTCGAAAAGATATTTGTGTCATATTCAAGGGTCCTGAAAGGAAATATCTTAGAAGGAAAAATCCACAATACAATAGAATGCACAACAGCATATGTACATCGTTACTCACTCGAGCTGGGATGACCCCCAATCGACCTTTTTCTTTCCTTTAACATTGGTAAATAATATGCTCACCTTCCAACAAACAGGATGCTCTTCCCGTATCGAAGTAAATCATAGACCATGTCACCATGACCAATGACTGCCCTGCCAACTCGGCATGTTAAACCAACCACGGCCCCCTCCCTGTTCTTGATGGCAGATATCCTATGCAAGGTACCTGCCATGCCAGCTCTATTGTCTATAAATTCTCCAACAGCATCTAGCGCAATCTCCAAATCTTTCATTGTAACCTAGATAACAATATTGGGTCAGGAAAGTGACAAAATTACTGTAAATCTAATTTCCAACCACAAGCAATGTCAAATTTTTTGCAAAAGTGCTCTCTTAAATCTAGAATTTCTCCTTTTTCTTTTTTTTTTTTGTCAAAGCACAATGGAATGTTAAAAGTAATCATTTAGTACAAACATATGGAGGGAGAAAAAAGTTGAGAAGTTTGAACTCATTCAGTAAACAAGTTGGCGCTTGAGCAAGTTCAAAATGTAAACACTAAAGAGAACCCATTGATCACCTCAGTTTGCCTCAAGTATTTTCCACCAATTTCACCTTGATAACGTGCTTCAGGCAAACGGCCCAAATCTAGTATCACCTGTTCGAACAGCATAAGGCAACTGTTACCTTTTAGATTATCTAGGCAGGAATGGAAATCATAGAGAAAAACTGAATCAGCAAGTTTTGTGCAAAAAGCTCCTGTTCATTTTATGCTGAGAATGAAAGAATATCTTCATCGGTAAGATAATGTGATCTTTAAAAATAGCAATCCCTAGTAAAATATCATTTTAGCAGAAAGATCTAATTAAATCTGTCTTCATTCACATCTAGACTCATGTGGCATCTGAGCAGTAGAATTTCGAATAACAAGCCAAGACTCTCCAAATACAACACAAGCGGCAATGTGTGCATTAAATTGCTCTCCTTCTTTGTCTCCAGGCTATCCACAACATGGCCAAAGGGATCATGCAAATAATTCTTTTTCTTTACAGAAGGTAACACTGTCAAGAATCCAAGATCGTTCCATTAAGTTTTACACTATGTAATTTGACACAACCTCCATTATGCTGATGCTTCTAATTCTATAAACCTGAAGGCCAGCATAAAATACTCATCAATGAATGGAACTTCAAAGAAAAAATAAAAATGACAGACGAGCACTAAATCAAGCCTAGCATCTGCAAAAAGAAAAAATGCAATTTAAAAGAAATTATAAAGGAGGAAAGTTTATATATCTCTGATTAAGTCTCAGAGAACGTCTAAACAATGAAAAAACCGTCCTAGAGAAGTGTTGAAAGCACTCATTTCAGTCACATGATTTTGGAAGGAAAACATTGCCGAATGTACTGAAATATGTCACATACTTGGAAAATCCAGTTTTCATTGTGATGGATTTTGACCAAATTCAAATGCAAGAAGAAAGAACATAATGCATGGCGGTAGGTGGCATCCGGGAGTCCTTATCAACAAAAAGTTGCCTTCTTTCAAGTTACTCACTCTTTTTAGGTATTCAGCAACACATACGAGCATAAGCACCGCAAAGTCACAACACTTCACAGCTGGATTCTAGGATATACTGTACATGCTTTTGGAGCTTTGATTGGAGGGGGGCTTTCTCCTTTACATCAAAAAGTTCCTTCTTTTCTTAATGTCTTGAACGCTTTAAAAGCTGTAGAGTAGTATAAGATATTCGTCGGCCATTTCTATAGGCAGCACAGAGAGATATGACAAGACATAACAACAACCCCAAGCAAGTACTAAATCTTAGTCCCTTTCTAATGCTTACCTACTTGTAGAACTCAAACACTTGACCCAGCCATCCAGGTCGAAACTATGACCCGGATACCCAGCATCTCCATTTGTGACTTAGACAGCAAGCATCTCAATTAGTGACTTATTCTCATTGTTTCATGTCATTGCAAGTTACAACGAAGAAAATCATCATTTCAGTAATTATCCATATGTTTCTACCTGCATACTAAACTTAGTACACATAGAATATTTGATGAATAAGAAAACCAACATCTTGTTTTTATACATTTTTTTTCCAAAACACCTTATATTATCCTCGTTCGAGGATTTTCAAGGAGTTGTGCTTTCAGCTATTACAAAAAGCTTCTCCATGTCTTGGTCTTGTCAAATTTTCTCTATAATGTGCCACCATAGTAACATACAATAGTGTCGAGCTGTAAATATCCAGATTATATGGCTGTAAATACATAGGAAAATTGACTGATTGTTAGGAGTAGATTTTTTTCCTATTTAGGAGTTTTTTATTCTGGTTAAATCCCACAAATCGTGGGATTGTAGCTGTTCTCCTATTTAGGCTTTGTTTCCTATTTTGTTTGCTAGGACTCCTCTGTGTATTAGTCTATAAATATAACACTATAAAGAGGTAGTATATATGAATGAGAAAAAGAATTTCTCTCCATCTAAAAATTCCACAAATAGAATTTCTGCTGCAGCAAAATAATGTTATTCCCAAGCTATCGTGAATGCTAAGTGCTTCTTTTCTCAATTAAAAGGTACTTTTATTTGAAAAAAAAAATTTGTTCTAGAACCTCATGAATATAATGAAGCATATGAAAATCTGCCACTTATGCTCCATAGTATGTCTTGTGAGCAAGTAGCAAGAGAAGACCAAAATTATTTATTCCATAAGAATAACGATATAAGTACTAGCAGCACAGGTTTAATGGAATGTAACCTCTACGAGTTGAGATCGACCAGGTTCACTCATCAAGTCATCACGCAAGTCGCTTGGAAGAACCTGCGATGCAGAAAGAAGGAATTCACTCAATAATAGCATGATAAAGTTACTGTGACAGGAATTCTATGCACACATGAGTGTTGTGTTAAAAAAAAGCTGGAACCATAATCTTGCTTGCACTGGCCTTCGAACCAACGGCGCTCTACTCAATAAGTTTACAATTCTTACAAAAAACAAAACTTCTGAAACTTTACAAAGAGCAAAAAGAACTTCAATTCGTAACCAAGAATCTCTCCTTGCCGGCCATTCGTAACCACCTTATAAAGGTCACAAGAGATAGAGGGCTGTCCTTTAAGCCCGTGGAAGACACTCCCCACAACCGGAGAATCCAAAACAACTGGGGCATCCCACCAACAATCTTTGAGTGATCTTCCTTTCTAGATTGTTTGTTGCTCTTGTTCTCCCTTAGCCATTGTTTTGGCTCTCTTTTGTTCCACTTAGATCGCGTTTAGCTATGCATAGTCGCACACCTTTTACCCGTTGGAACACCATTGGTGTCCCATTGGGTACGAGGTTTTTGTATTCGACTATCCCCTCTTTGTAAGTGGTGCGTCAAAAAGTCAATATACATCTTACCTTACCAAAAAAAAAAAAAAGAACTTCAATTATTTCCCCACTAGAATGACATATCGTACAAGTATGAGAAATGCAAAGAGCTTTAACAGTGACAGAGGGGAAAACATCAACTTATTGTAGTAAAGGTCACAGTTTGAAGAAGCAATTTGGGGACGAGTCACGTATAACATTAGACATTTACCCGCGCTGTCTCACAAAAATATAATTGAAATGGAGTAGAGAACATTTTAGCATAAATTCAACATTACTTTAACGTATCATTTCACGTAAAAGGTACACATGTAACTAAATTTTCAAAGTATAGAGCAACCAATTATTATAAAAAAGTAAATCCACAAACACAATACAGAATATTATATACCGCAGATATTATCCTATCCCTGGATGCATATAAACAAGTAGAAGCTTCTGTCTGCTAACTAATATGGAAAAAAATCTATACGTTATTATACTAAAATGGAAAATATTTCTTAAATACAAATGAGTTATAAGTAAATGGTCAAATAGTGAAGAGGAAGGAGAGGAATGGTGTTATATAACAGTGCACATGCTTGATAGTTAGATACTTCTATGGAGAAATTGCAAGAGTGTGCAATTCTTATAATCTCCGACCAAACCATAGGCGGCACACTTAGAGGCAACACGCAAGAGAATACTTTGTCATAATATATATTCATATAGATTAACGGGCGAATTAAGTGTCGATGATGAAGATACTTTCGAATTCTTCTTCTCCTTTTTTGTTTTTTTCCTGGTAATGCAGCTCTTGTTCTAGTTGCAAAGAAAATGGAAAGAAGCACAAGAGCAATGCTCGGCTCACCAGTTTCATCTAATTCAGGACCTATGGCAGAGAGACGTACGACAAAGCAACTAACAATTACGGAGAAACCCAGAGAAGTTTTCTTCTTAAATCTTCTCCGTAATTGAATTCGAACGCAAAGCACCGAATACAGCCAGAGATATAGCAAGTCGCGAAACTGTACGGATAAGAGAACGGTGGCCGGAAACGAGGAATAACGGGCGACGGGATACGATCGGCGATTCCGGCGAAAATTATCAGGCGGAGAAAGGGGAAGGGACGAGACCTGCAACAAGGCGCCGAGATCGTCCTCGACCGCGAAGTGAGAACCGGCGCCGGACGCCGAGCAACGGGAGGTCGCGGAGAGGCGCGGCGGCCTTCTCCGGGGACGGCCGCTCGCCGCGGGACGGCGGCCGGAGCCGACGAGGCGGACGGGCGGCCTCTCGCGCGTCGAGGCTCGAGGGGCGAAACGGTGGACGGGGACGGCGGCGGCGGCGACGGCGAGCTCCATCGCCGTCACTCTCCTCCGTTTCTCATGTCTCGAAGGTGGTCCACGTACTTCTTGAAATTCACATGGTTTGAAATTCGAATAATAATTGGAATTCAAGCGAGAAAATATTTTTTTTAAAAATTTACTTTTAACTTTCCAAAAACTTGAATTTTTTAATTAAAAAGTTTGAAATCAGACAGGCCCTGTTGACTAAAGTCTCCAGAAGTCGCGCGGAGACGAGAGGGAGCAGGTTGTAAGCCGGTGGTGGTTGCTGCTTCGGCTTCGCTCTGGAGAAGACGAAGCCTGCGGAACCATGAACGGCGGGAGGAGCGGCGCGAGGGACGGCGGCGGCGGCGGAGGAGGAGACGACGACGGCAGGGGGATCCTGTGGAGGCTCCCGGCGGTCCGGTCCAAGCAGCTCGGCAAGCTGGGCCCCGCCTTCGGCGTCGGCGCCGGCTGCGGCCTCGGCGCCGGCGTCGGCCTCATGGGCGGTAAAAATTCCCGCCTGTCTCTCTCTCTCTGGATTCTTCGACGATTTAGGGTTTCTTCTTCACGAGTAGCGAGAGACTTGAGTATCAGATTCCTGAATCCTGGAACTCGTGATTCCAAGCTACCCGTCGCTTTAATGTTTAGAGTTCTACACAGTCGTCAGGTTTAGATGCGTACTCTGTTTCACTTGAGTATCAAAGGTTTAAGCTGCTAGTAGTTGTCGCTCTATAAGAGTGACTCCAGTTTTAGCACTTGTGTCCGCAAAGTGGGATAGAGAGCAGGGGTAGAGAAAGCTGCTGGATAATGGCTTTCTTCCCCTTTTGATGCAAGAAAAGAGCAAGGAAGTTGGTGTATACGAGCTGTATAGCTCTCTACTTCGAAGACGAAGCATGGGTCGGGTTAATAATTTCCTTTGGGGCGGTTTAGCGGCTCCTGGATGAATCTGGAGCTGACACTTTGATGCTTCCACTCTGTTGGTCCATCCTGTGTTGGCGGAGAAAGTAGTGTTCTTGCGACCCCCGGGGCATTCGACTGGTTCTGCCTGTAAGATGAAGGTGAGCAAACGATGTCTGTGGATGCTTGCTCTTCCTTCAAGTTATGTTCAAGACTTGCGACCCTGGGCATTCGACCGGTTCTGCATGTGAGATGAAGGCGAGCAAACGATGTCTGTGGATGCTTGCTCTTCCTTTGAGTTATGTTCAAGACTTGCCTAGTTGTTGCCGTGCCGTCGCAGTTTCACTCGTCCTAAAAGTTAATTTATGCAGGAAATAGCCGCTAATGTTGAGTGTGTCGGTATTACCACGACTATTTGGGGCAATAACCAAATTGAATGTGGTTGAAGATAGGGTGCTTGGTTGGAGGCGGGGGACATGTCATCTCCCTTGCACCAATTTCCCCCCGTGTGAATATTTCCGCAAAACCAATCTACTGCTTCAGGCTTCCATAGATTGCAAGATTTGCAGCTCACAAATAGAGAATGACCTGGTTATGTGCTTGATGTATTACTCTCAACTCTATCCACATGGGGTGCACGGGAGATGACATGATTTATTTGGTTTTCATCGAGAAGGGGCCATCTCTTCCTGCAAGATGATTCAATTGGTGTTAATTCTGAGATAGTGTAAAGTATGACCATTCATTGGGATTCTGTCTTGTGTGGTTATCTCTTTTAGCATATCAATTGTGCGTAAGTGTGTGCTTTACCTTGCAATAGTCACAGACCAGGTTTGAAAGTTATGTGCTGTCGACCTGATGTTCAATAGCTATTATAATGTTTGGAGTTGTAATAGTGAGTTCTTTGGCACATTGCAGGGCTAGGCTTTGGTCCTGGAATTCCTGGTTTGCAGCTTGGCTTTGGGATAGGGGCTGGATGTGGTGTTGGTGTGGGATTTGGTTATGGTGTTGGAAGGGGGATCGCCCATGATGATAATCGTAGATACTCAAATGTGGGAAATGTCTTTCATGGTTCAGGGAGTCTTCCTACTCAGTAAGTAACCTCTAGTTACACCCTCTGTTTCCTTTGAATTGACAATTAGCCGAATTCGTGATGCTTGAGTCGCTAGTTTTGGGAGAAGCAAATTAACGTATGAGTGACATGTGAAGGATTTTCAGGGTTCTTGGTTTTTTACATCTCTTGGCTTTCACAGGGATGAAATTGGTGCACTTGTTGATGATCTCGTAATCAACACGAAGAAGCTCATCAGTGCGACTTCAAGAGAAATTGACAAGTGGAGGAGATGATTTCAGTTACCTAAGTTGATGCAGTCAATCAGGGATGATATAGTGTATAGCATCGATATGTTTCGACAGAAGTATGTTTCTGTTCAAAGTTGTTGAATCCATGAATGTGGAAGACATTGTATCGATTGTATTTAACGTTCAGCTGCGTATGCAGCATCCCAGGACCACTCAAAAGTGCAGTTCTTCGATTTAATCTTTTTCCCCCCACCTGATGTTTACTTGACTATGTCATCGGCATAGATTTCGGTCAGACTTCAGACACGACCGTAGCATTGGCAATCATTCATTCGTATCAATTCTTGGAATTGTTTTTGAACGATGAAATAACATTTGAAATTCCGAAATAGTTGAGAGCAACGTTCTGTGATATGCTTGAAATTGCACCTTTTAATTCTGCTTTAATCCTTTATTATAAGAGATTGGATTGGATTGGTTTGAATAGACTTGTAAATTGGTTTTTGAAATGATTGTTTTTTAATGAAGTTTCAGCTGGTATAAATTTATAGTCCTTCGCCATCAAGTACGGTGTGACTGAGGATTTTGATCATTGGGCGTGTAGACTGTAGAGAACAACGGAGGATAGGACACGTTATCCTAAACGGACCAATCCATTCATTTCAGCAGTTAGCCACGTCGGCTCCTCATCCGCCACGTCACTCCGGGCGACCTATGGTATGACTGGATTGGATTGCGCATCTGCAATTCACCATGCAACACCAATCAAATGCGCTGGATCACAAATCCGATGTGGCACGTCCGCATCCACCAGACCATCCATTATATTCTCTACCGTTCTTCATCCTCCTCTCATTGCGCACAGATTCAATCTTTCACTGCCAGCACCACCCCCTCCGGAGCACCGTGCAATGGCTTCTCTCGGAGTCTCCGAAATGCTGGGCAACCCCCTCAACTTCAGCAGCACCGCCAGGTCGGCCCCGACCGCCTCCAGCCCGGCCACCTTCAAGACCGTGGCCCTTTTCTCCAGGAAGAAGCCCGGCCCGCCCGCCAAGGCCAAGGCGGTCGCCGTCTCTCCAGCTGACGAGGAGCTCGCCAAGTGGTATGGTGAGTGGCCAATCACTTAAGAGTTAGTATCCAAGCCTTCTGCTGGTCATTGTGAAAGCTATGCTTCACATGAAGTTTTTTTAGGAGCTTTTGGGAGGGGTAGTCATTTGGATTTGTGCGCGTGTGGTTTTCAGGTCCTGACAGAAGGATCTTCTTGCCTGATGGTCTCTTGGACCGGTCCGAGATACCCGAGTACTTGACTGGAGAGGTGCCCGGAGAGTAAGTTCCTTTCTCTTCTCCCTCCGTTAGCAGTAATATCTTTGAGATATGCTGCAATTGTAATTAGTGGGATGAACTCAGCTAGCATTAAATCTTCCTGGATAATTGTACATGGCGAGCGGTACTACTAGTAATGAGGGTTAGCAGTTAGTGCAATTCTTAGATTCATCGTGATATGATAGTGGTGCTAATTCTGATGCATGTTCATGCAGCTATGGCTATGATCCTTTTGGCCTCAGCAAGAAGCCAGAAAACTTCAGCAAGTGAGTTGGCCTGCCATTTTATCTTCTTGTCGCTCTCTCTTTTCTCTCGACGAATATATATTCAGAATGAATCAGCATCTCAAATCGATGAGATACTGTCTGCAGATACCAGGCCAATGAGTTAATCCACGGAAGATGGGCCATGCTCGGAGCTGCCGGCTTCATTATCCCCGAGGCCTTCAACAAATTTGGTGCCAACTGTGGCCCCGAAGCTGTCTGGTTCAAGGTTCACATCTTCGGTCGTTTTGTTCTGTTCCAAAACAGGCGTAGAATTTCGCAGTTTTGTTTTTCCCTTTGACATTGATCTGATACCTATTCTGACTGTTGATACAGACCGGGGCCCTCCTCCTGGACGGGAACACATTGAACTACTTCGGGAAGAACATTCCCATCAATCTAGTTTTTGCTGTCATTGCTGAGGTTGTTCTTGTTGGTGGTGCGGAGTACTACAGAATTATTAATGTCTTGGTAGGTCAAATGTTATTATGCCAATTATCTGACTTCAACATGTTATATGTGTTTCATGAACTATAATTGAGTAGGGAAACCGAATTTCTCTTTGATGACTGTTGTGTCTCGAGTTAGAGAATATCTGCTGGTAAGTGCATATATATTGAACGCTGCCCCGTTGATTGTAAGAGTAGCCACAGGCAGGCCTTGAACTAGCTAGTTGGACTTATATCAGCAGTCTTGAGTCTTGACCCGTAAATTTAAGCCTGAACTTTGTAATCATACGAGGCCTTTGACTTTGTGTTGAATGGTGTGCAATGATTTAGTAGAGTGCTTATGCCTTGCCGCATAGTGTCCAAAGCTTTGTTGTTGTTGTAGTTGTTATGGTGGTGCCAATTTTGCACCACTCAGATCATATTCTCAGATGATTTTCATCCTTAACCATCACAAGCTTTAAGTTTTCAAAATATAGAAAGTAGAACAGTTTTTGCTATCAGTTGATCGAAAAATCCATCAATGTTGTGTTGTGAATTCGTTGTGGTTAGATTACAAATACAGCAGCGCAAACACACCATTGGGTTATCTCATGGTTCCTTCTTCCACTAATTCTCTCTCTGTTCTCTTGTTAGGATTTGGAGGACAAACTCCACCCTGGTGGTCCATTTGACCCGTTGGGTCTCGCTAAGGACCCAGACCAGGCTGCCATCCTCAAGGTGAAGGAGATAAAGAACGGCCGCCTCGCCATGTTCGCCATGCTCGGTTTCTTCTTGCAAGCCTACGTTACCGGGGAGGGCCCTGTCGAGAATCTTGCGAAGCACCTCAGCGACCCATTCGGAAACAACTTGCTCACTGTGATTGCGGGAACAGCGGAAAGAACTCCTACCCTGTGATTTTAGCTCTTGAGATCATCCTCTTGAATATGGGAATGAGTTGTACATCTCATTGAGAAAGTTTGAAGGCATGAATCAGAATTTCCACTTGGAACTTTCTCTCTTATGATCTATATAGATGGGCTTGATCAAGTTAGCCATGAAGGCTGTAACATCTTGAATATTCTTTTGTCATCATATGTGCAAAATCTTTCTTCAGCACACTAATGCGCAATTGTTTGTCACTTCTATTGTCACGACCTGATTGAACTTTGAAGTACTCATCGTCCATATAACTAAGATTGCTCAAACTAAGTGACTGTCTTGTAGTTGCCACATATGAAGGTTGACGACATCGAATATGTGGCTGTCTGCCACGGATGACTTTGAATCTCAACGGTCAATGCAGCGGGGATGCAGCATGCCATTGGCGGCTAGAAGCAGCGAGCTAGCGATTGCGGGAGGCACGGACCTGGCCTTAATGGAGGTGAGTAAACGGATGGTGGCGATGGCTCAAAGGAAAACAAGAATAAACGATCGAAACAGAACTCGATCCTTCAGAAGTCACCTAGGTTAATGTCATGCACGTACAATGAGTAAATTTACGAATTATTCTCCATATATAAAAGATCCTTTAAAAGGGTTTGATTTACCAAGAATACTCCACATAGATCGAACATTCTTGGACGAAGACACATAAATTTGTTAGATTGCTTGAAGTTCATCCGCAATACATCACTTCCAACGGTTATGATTGATCTGGTTACCGCCATATCAGTTCCAAAGAAGAGTATGGAGTTGGATTACCATGCGCATGACTGGGCCTGCTGTCTTTGAAGAGAAATTACTTTGAGGTTTTTGGCTTTAAGCCTTTCAAATCCGACTTCACGTCAGATCTTCAAACACACAAACGTCTAACACTTGGAGAGATCTTCAGAACGTTGTAAGCATCTCCATGCAACACCAACCGGTGCGTGTTAGTATATCATTACAAGGATGATAAAGAAAACTTTATTGTGTTGTGAATTTCTGTAATGCGGCATGGTGTATGACACCGGTGGCGGGCGAGTGCCACGGTCGAGGGAGCTCACTCCGGAAGAAGCAAAGCCCTTCGTTTCACCGCACTTCATCGGTGCCCGCAAATGGCTTTCCTTTTTTTTGACCAAACCGGTTTCTCCACACTTACACACAGTCCACGATTGCTATGAGCGAACCTTGAATGCTCTTCGGTGTTGTTTTCTTCTCTCGTCTTTCAGCTGTTCGATCGTTTACGTTCGATGATCTTGGTGCGTCGGATTCATCAACAGCTGCTCGTTTCCCATCACTGTGAGCGATGTGTCTCTCTTTCTAGTTTCTTTCTTTCTCGGCGCAAAATTTGATGCTTGACATGGAGATTATGCGTCTAGAGAGGCTTGGCATTTGGAGTTGGCACGTACTTGCTTCCATAGGGTTATAGCTCTGCATCGTTTCTTGATTTCTATATATTACAAATTATATAATTGGATGGACGTTGATTCAATACTGCATATAGAGCTGAAACCAAATACATGAACAGTACGGTTTTTGTGCATTTATAGGATTAGTCGAGTCAAAGATTCGAATAATCAATATGTAGGTGTTTCTCTCTAAGGCGGTTTGTTAGAATGTTATGATGTGCCTATATTGGAAGTGCTTGATCAACCGGAGTGTGGAATTCGTAAGGTGTTTCTCCCTAAGGCGGTTTATTTTCATGTGAATGATGTCTATATCTTTTAACCTACCAATTAGGAAACTAATTAATCCGAAAGACGAAGGAAAAGGTAGCCTTTTTTTTTTTCTCTTTTGCCGTCGCCATGTCCATCCAAGCTACACTACCCACTACTTATGTCACCCGCACCGTCTAAATCCCATTGCCACCCATCTCTCTCTCTCTCTTATATATGCGCGCGTGTGTGTGAGCGCGCGCATGTGCAGCAACGATGCCAAGGTTACTTGAGGTTTGGGCCCGCCACTTGCGTGGAGGTGGTGATCTAATGCACTCCTTTGTCTTCATAGAGAGAGAGAGATTATGACTCCATTTGTTTCGTGGAAAATGAATGATTTCGAAAATATTTTCTTAAAAATGTCGCTTGTATCACTTATAAAAATGAATAATTGAAAAATATTTTCGTCCCCCGAAAATATTTAAACATAGATTGTTGTCGATAAATGAAAATATTTTCTATTGACTAATTATTTCAAGCAATACAACCTAGGTGTTGGAAGTGATGGAGGTGAGGACAAAGGAAGGTAACAATTGCTCAAAGGAAAACACGGATAAACGCTTCAAACAGATCTCCTTTTTTCAAAAT